CTGCTTTAAGAACCTGGGGGAAACATTTGAAACTAGGAGAGGAGACCTCTTCTACCCCTCCAGAAGCAAAGGAGGGAGGCTCCTAAGCTTAGAGGAGGCTCAGGACTTCATTCCTCTGCTGGAACAGCTCATCTAACCATGCACACAATCTGGTAGCAGACTGGGGTCCCAGGGAAGCCGACTCTAAGACAGAGTGTGCATGGCATCAACACCTGCAGGAGAGACAGGATGAAGAGGAAGCAGGTTGGCCTCAGGCAGCCCAAGGGGAGATCTGAAGATAGAGTGACACTTTAAAGCTGTTCTGAGTTGGTGAATTGGGCCTTTATAGCCCATGATAATTGAGCTCTGGATGAGGGCCACCTGAAAAGGTAACAATCGGTGTGAGGCAGCTACCCCTCCGTGGCTCAGGTTCTGACAGGGCTGGCTGTGGACAGACTTCTTCCTTCCTGAGGGAACATGTGTGTGGTGCATCCCCTCCTTGCAACCCCTGGATCTGGACTCATCCCTGTAGAGGGTTCCAAAAGGTCAGGATTTCCTTCCTCTGGAAAACCAGGAATTTTTAACCAGGTTGCTCTAATATATGATTAAGTCTTCCAGGCACTATCACTAAAACTCTCTTCTCTTAGGAAGGAACATTCTAGACAGAAGGTTCAGGACATTCTGTCCACTAGTAGAGGCAGCCTCACCCACATAACAATGATTAAAAATCTTCCCTTGAAGTACTGATATGTGATACAATGTGGATGAACTTCAAAAACATGAGGGTGAGTGAAAAAAGGCAGACGTGAAAGGTCACCAATTGTATGATTCGAGCTATATGAAATATCCAAAATAGGTAAGTCCAGCAATGATGGAGGGGGAAGGAATGGGAAGTGTGGAATTGATATACCAGGAGTTTGGAACTAGACAGAGAAGGTGGTTGTACACCACTGTGAATGTACCAACTGCTTCAGGATTATTCATTTAAAAATGGTTCATTTTATGACAATTTCACCTCAAATAAAATGAGATAAAACTCTCTCCCCCTCCCTCCCCACTCTTCTCCTGGGAGCAATCCATTAAAGTAAAATTAACCTTTTATTCTAGGGGCCTTAATTTTTGAGTAAAAATTTGAGTGTGGGAGGCTAACAAAGGAGCACATGGGTTATCCCCAGTTCCTGTACAGCAGAATCCAGGTGAAGAAGCAATAATTTTTACCACCAAATCTACAGTCCATTTGTAACCCAAGTTCCTACTTCCTGTGCCACATTTATGTCCCCCCAAAAGCTCCTAGGTTCTCAAGGCAAACTCTTTATTTTTTTCCAATAACACACATATGATCAGCTAACTCTTCCCCCCATGCTTCCCCAACCAACTAAATGACTGTTTTTATTTTATAATTTTTTATTTTGAGAATTTTTAAGCTTGCACAAAGGTGGATATAATAGAATTAACCATATAACATAATGTATCTGTCACCTAGCTTAAACATTTATTACCATGCTGCCACTCTTGTTTCATATCTATCTCTCTCTCCTCTCTTCTCTCCCCCTCTCTCCCTCTCTTTCTCTCCTCTCTCTCTCTCTCTCTGCCATTTTTTTTTAAACTAAAGTACTTCAAAGCAAATCCCAGGCATCAGTACTTCTTCTCTAATGAGTAAGGACATTCTTTAAAATTGCCATGACATTGTTATGTTTAACCAAATGACCAACAATTCACTACCTAATGATAACCAATCCATATTCAAATTCCTTGTATCAAATAAGTAGTAGAAGCTGGGACTTGAACCCAGGCAGTGGGACACCAGTGGGCTTGAAAATCTGTAACTCATAGAAAGAAGATCCTCACAGAGCTCTATAGGAACTGACAGAAAAGGCAAAATAAGGAAGAACAGGCTGCAAAGAAATGGTAAGCAGAAAGTTTGTTAGTAACTCAGCAGCTGGCAGCCTCAGCCAGAAGGGGGTTCAAGATGTTTCCTTGTAGGGAACTGACATTCTCCAGGAGGACAAGTTTGGAGGCTGCAGAGGGAAACAGGCGGCAGAGGAGACCCCCAGGAATGCAGCACGAACACTGATGGCAATGGGACCTGATGGGTCCTGACAATCCCACGAGGGAAAAGTGTAAGAATGTACTCACTTGGTTCAGCCAAGCTCTTCAAAAGTTGGCAGAAACCAATAACCAGCAGGGGGCCTTTGTTACCATACAAAGTAAATATTCTAGCCCACATAATACAATTCAAATTATCCCTTTAGGTAACTGGAGGTTTGGGCTGTCTGAGAACAAGGGCCATAGTCACTAACTGCTGATATAATATGCCTGCCTTGGCTATAGTTGGTTTAAATTGTGTAAATAAGGCATGAAGAAAAAAACACTAAAAGAAACTACAGCTCAGGTGGAGGCTTTGCCGCCCTGTCTTTGAATCCCAAGAAAGCAAGCCCAGACAGGCTGGTGTTCCATAATTAACCACAAGAGGCATTTTTCTAGCTCATCCCCTAAATAGTAAAACTTAAATGGAGTTCATCGTGATCACTTTGTGGTTTCAGGATAAAGCCATATGGCAGCCACGAAAATGTACCCCTTAGATCTCCTGCTAGGGGGAACATAATTGATGACAACCAGCTCAGCTTGCTGCCACTCAGGAGTCCCCATTGTATTCGCTCTTGGGCTGTTCTCAGTCATAGACTGAGCAGAGTCAGGCTGTTTGTCCAGACCTATTCTGGAAATGAGGAGCTGCTCCAATGGGTAGCTCTGACTTTCCCAACAGCCTGGTTAACCCTTCCTTGGACTGTGCTATGATCTGAGATTCTGCCTACCCAATCCTCTCTCCTTCAGTTATTACAACTTCCTTACAGCCTCACCAGAGGCGGCCCATAAGATAGTGAAGATGGAAAATTCTTCTAGTGGGCAAACTCAAGTGTTGCAACTAGTAGGTACACTGGAAAGAAAGGCAGTCTGATGTGAGAATGTATACAGATTCCTGAACAGTGGTTCATAGCCTGGTCGATTGGCCAGAAAATGAGCAAGACGGTGTAGAGGATTGTGGATAGACACAGGGGAGTGGGCACAAAGTGTTATTTTTGTCTCACACATTAATGCTCCTCCCCAGGAAGCACCATCATAGAAGAGAACAACCAAGTAGACAAGCTGGCTCAACCAGCCAATGTTAGTTGGTCTTCATGACTGGCCACCTAGAACTAGTAGCAATGGCCACAGAAATGGAGGGAAGTTCCAAGTAGGGCCAACAGCATGGATTCTTGTAGTTTGGCCATGAGGTGTCCCCCAAAGCTCCTGTTAATGCAGGAATATTCAGAAGTAAAATGATTGTATCATGAGAACTGCAACCTAATCAGTCCATTCCAGTTTGAATGGCTGGGTGGTAACTATAGACAAGAGGGGCATGGCTGGAGGCGGATCGCTAGGGAGTGCCCTAAAAGGGTGCATCTTCCCTGTGCCCCCTTCTCTTCCCCCCTCCTTTCTCTCTTCTTGCTGACCGTACCATGAGCTGGGCAGCTTTCCTCCTCTGGGCCCTTCCCCCAAGATGTGCTGCCTCATCTTGGACTAAAAGCAATGGAGCAGGCTGTCTATGAACTGAGACCTCTGAAACCATAGCCCCAAAGAAATTTTTCCTCCTCTAAGTTGTTCTTGTTGGGTATTGTTTAGTCAACTTTTTTTTAGTCACTGTGAACAAGAGACCTGACAAGAACAGTGTAGAGGAGGAAAAATCTTCAGAGGTCTCCATCTATGGATGGCCAACTCCACTGCTCTGGGTCTAAGGTGAGGCGGAACATCATGGTGGAAGAGTATGACGGGAGAAAGCAACTCAGAATGTGGCAATCAGAAAGCAGGAATCAGAGAGCTCTGCTCACTGGGTACAAAATATAAACCCAAAAGCATGCCCCCAGTGACCTATCTCCTCTAGCCACACCCTACCTGCCTACAGTTACCACTCAGTTAATCCCCATCAGTGGATTAATCCATTGAGTAGGTTTTGACTCTCATAATCTAATCACCTCTGAATGTTCTTGCACTGTCTCACACATGAGCTTTTTGGGAGATACCTCATATCTCAACCATAAAAGGTAACAACAGCAATGCAAAAGCTAACAAAACAGACTCCCCTGAGTCAAGGCAGGTGCAAATCTTGCTGCCTCTGAACTGCTAACCTAACTACAACAGAGATGGATGCTGAGTCCCAATGTGGCCCTGTTTCTTAAGGAGACCAATGGACCCTTCCAGTGGTTTTCCCTTTGCCAGCTGGCCCTGAGGCTTGCTAGTAGAGGGCTACTAGCAATTAAAAAAAAAAAAAAAAAAAGATGATTTTGCTCCCACACTGCTGCAGTGCAGGTCGCTCACACACCAGGGCCAGCAACACCAGACTTGCCAACTACCACACTCAGGTGGCTGCACAGCCTGGGCTTCAGGTGAGACATCTCCTCATGCAGTTTTCCCATAGAAGGTAGATTTCTAGTAAATTCCATCAGCAGCACACTACAGTGAGTTCTCTGCCATCCATGAAGCCACAGCTGTGCTCAATCTATTAGATCTGGGTGTTGGGACCTGGGAGGGCTCTTCTTTGTGCTCCATCTCACCCCTAGTACAGCTGGCTGGTCCTCACATCTGCTATTCTCATAGTCTTCTCATTTCTCTTTACTCCTTTCTAGCCAATCCTGCATGATACTAATCTCTTATTATAGTTACTAAATCTTTATTTTAAATGTCCCCCATTCAAATTACAGCATGATATCTGTGCCACTCCTCATAGTACCAGGTTATTTATTCCAGGTGAGTTTACCTTCTCTGCTTATGAAACTCAGTACCACCTCTATCTGGGAGCTTATAGAAAGCCTCATCATTCGTGGGCACCACACCCCATGTGACAAAGCATCCCACCAGGTGACCCACTCCTGGCAAAGGAGATGCCTAACCATGGAACCACTGATTGTATCATATGCCCCACCATCCATAAGCAGCCAGCTTCAGTGGTGAATGCAAATTTGACTTCATGAACAAAAGAAACTGAATTGACAGCTACCATAAGGCTTTATTGCTCTAAAAGAATTTTCCATCAGAAAGCAGTCACTGTATAAATCTAGTGTAACGATCATAACTATACCACAATTTAGATGTATTTTCCAATTATAATTCAATAATAAAACCTGAGAATTCATGATCTAATTATTATTAATTTAAAATTATTCATTTTTTGAATACCTCTTTTAAAATGAGAATTATTTAATCATGTTCATCTCTTTCTTTAAAAAAATTAATCACAAGGGCTGGCTAGGGATGTAGCTCAGTGGTAGAGTGCTTGCCCAGCAAGCCTGAAGTCCTGGGTTCAATTCCTAGTACCACCACCACCAAAAAAAAAAAAAAAAAATCATTTGAAAAAAATTAATCACAGAATCAAAGATATGGGATGGGTTAAGGCATTGAAATGCACTTATTTCAGGAACAGTTTTTGCTTAGATATAATTAATAATATTAGAAAGAATGATTTTTTCCCAAATTATAAGTTCTTATAAAGCGCAGATGCACATTCTCAAGATGTTAAGGCACTCAGGAACAAAAGATAGCAGATATTCCTTGGCTTAGAGTTTGGCTTTCTCCTTATAAGACTCCTTCATCCTCTTGACAAGAGAAAGGTCCCCAACTCCTTCAGGCCAGTTGTCATGATCTGTTAAGTGGAAAACCCCAAGTTAGCAAAATTTAACCTCCTTTGTCCTCTTAAATCCAACTTAGTCCTCTTCTGTTTTCTCTGGGGCATTCATGCAAGAAAACAAAATCCAAGCAGGGCGGGGTGGTAAATGCCTGTAATCCCAGCCACTCGGGAGGCTAAGACAGGAGGACTCTTTGTTCAAAGCCAGTCTCAGCAACAGTGAGGCACTAAGCAACTCAGTGAGGCCTGTCTCTAAACAAAACAGGGCTGGGGATGTGGCTGAGTTCAATACCCAGTACCCCCTGACAAAAGAAAAAAGAAAACAAGAAAAAAGAAAACAAAGCCCAGAGGTTTTACAAAGGGACCTGGATTTGAAGCTCTGGTCTGCCATTCACTAGCATTTCCAAATTTAGGGAAGTTACTTTTTCGGAGCCTCAGTCTTATTATCTATCAAAATATTTTAAAACTGTGAGGGTAAACCTGACACCATCTATACAGAGCTGGGCATACTGCAGACATTCAATAAGTAGTATCTGCTTAGTAATAATTTTAAAATAATGTGGTAGCTTGCACCAGGTATTAATAATTGCATCCCCAACATCCAGTGCTCATCTCCCCTTTGCAAAAGGCTCTTTTTTTTTTTAATCCAGAAGGGTCAGAGGAGTGACCCTGCCCTGGTTTGGTGGTGAGGGGTTATAAGCTGTCACTCAGTGCTCCCCATCCCCCTGGCTGTGGATAGTGGTTGAGAATGGGCATTTGCTTGAGCTGGTCTAAAACAGAGTGGATCTCAATATTTTTTAAATTAATTCTAGGACAAAGTCATTCTCTACTCCTTGCTTTCTACCTAGCTAGATATGAACTAAAAGAAGCAGGTGATCTTAGGAGCAGCTGGCAGCCATCCTACAACCAAGAGAGCCAGGCTTGAGAGAAAGCTGACCTCATGGAAGCAAAAACAGAGGAAACAGGAGGGGAAAATGTCTTTAATAAGATCACTGAGCTACTTAAGTCAAATCTCACCTGCTTTCCAAACGCACTGCCGCTGCATTACAACCCCATCACACAAATTCCATTTGATATTAGGCCAATTTGAGTCACTTCCTATCTGACACATGCATTTTCTAATTTGATCTTTCCAACAGTCCCCTGAAATAAATACTATGTGTATCATTGCATTGTAGGAAAGAAAAGAGGGACCTACAGAAATTAATTTCCCCCAAAACTCAACATTTGAGATAAGCAGGGTGAGGTTTCTATCCCAGAGATTCTCACTTCCAAGCTGGCAATCTAAAACCCTGTACTGAAGTCTGAATGCTCCTAGTCAATATGTAGGGCAGCACATTCCTAAAAAGTAGACGTAACTACTCTCCTCAAAAATTTAAAGAATATTTTGTATTGATAAAAACAGTATTAGAATTGCAAAAGTAAATCATTTTGTGGGAGACTTAGAGAAGCAACCACCTTGGTATTTCTTTCCCTCTCTAAAAGAAAAACAATGCAACTCACCCTAACAAATACTGACTCAGGTCTACGGAAGAGGGAAAGGGAAAGGTTCTCAACTACTCTCACTATTTTAAATACTTTCAAAACAATGAGGCATAGCCATGCAGGCATTTTTGTCTTATGTCCTTGGAACAATAGTATCTTACACATATTACCATGCACATCTTTTAGTAAAGAAATACATAAGGGAGGGGACAATAATAAGTAAAATTAAAGTTCTATGGTAAGCGCTTATTAATGTATAAGAAATCTTATGCTTGGACTAGAATAATACTTAGTAAGAATAAGTTGAACCTGGGACCCTGATATGAAATTCAAACATGAAGGGGTTGTATTAACCACACCTTAATTAGCTTGTAGCCACTGAGTCAACTATTTTTAACAACAGAAAGCCAGGTATATTTGCATTTTGTACTTCTTTCTGTGTGTTTTGAGTGATTTATAGTTGTTAGCTTCTGTGGATTTGTTTTGTCATTTGCAAAGTGATGATATTAGACTATCAAATTTCTTAGAAAACTTCTAACCTCAAAGATCTCTGGTCTAGCCATTAAATGTGAACAACGCATACACACAGACATATCAACACATCCCACACATAAAGACGTTTTGTCTAATATCAATATTTGATTATGACTATAAAAATACTTCTTTATATATATCAAAATGACTTAATATAGCAATTATATAACTTCACTTAACATATATCCTAAAGAGAGGGCAAAACAGCACAATACCACTGATTCTTCTGTTCAGATATGAAAGCCACTTACTGGAGGAAAAAAGAAGAGTTAAATATATGGCAACCTCTTGACTCTTCTCTATCATTCCTTGTATAGATGCACTCACAGAGGGTTTTTCAAGGTTCAAATTCCATCAACTCATGCACACACAAAAATTTCTTAAACATTTCAAGTTAAGATCTATAATAAATATATCGAGGTATTTTCTGCACCTGGGATCATCTCCTTGGAAATCATATCCTGAAGATAAGCAGTTTGCACATTTGATATCCTACAGAAGTAAACCTCTACAACTTAAGTGGCCAACACCTGAACATGAAAAGGCCTACAGCTAGTGGCTATTCATTCCCTAGCTACTCACCTGGTACATTGTATGAGTGTGTGTACAGAGACTGGCCTCCGTCCACACTCACCACCTGTCCAGTGACAAAGGAAGCTCCAGGAGACAGCAGGAAGCACACGATGGAGGAGACCTGGAAACAGAGGCATGTGCACATAAAAGCAAAGTCTCTTTCTATCTCTATGTGCTTCACCTTCCCGAGGAAACTCATCTCAAACCACATAACTGTAATGTAACTCCTACATGTGCAAGCCACAACCTGCCAGTACCCAGACAGCTTCCCTTTTCTATTTGAGCATTATTAAAATCAGGTAATCCATCAGAGGAGAGATAGAGAGACACAAAGGAGCCTTAGAGAGTATCCAGGAGGACACACAAAAAGAAGCCCAAAGTGAACACAGGGCTGCATTTCTGCTTCTTCCTGCTTCCATTTCCCACCACAATCCCCTTTTCCATCACTGACATATGCCTTTTATATTTTGGTCCCTGAAATAGTCAATGAGTCTGTGTAGCAATACACTAGCATTCTGATGTATTCAGTGCATGGTCCTGTCTGGCCCAAAACTCAGCAGCAACACAGACAGCACGAGTTTCTAGAAGAGGGACTTCAGAATCCCACTGCATTCCCTAAAATCTTAAGAGTCAATTGATGAGCTCAGCAACATCTACTCCAAAAACTAAAGAGAAAGAAAGAATTTATATCAGTGAGCCTATAGAACCAGAAGCAGTTTCTCAAAAGGTGATGCTCCTAAACACCTGACACTCCTGATTCTCCTTCACTTAAAAGATGATAGCTCATGGATTAACAGGCCAGCCAACAGCCGGTGCAAAAGTTCAATCTTCTTACAGGTACAGGACACAATCAGGCCAATACTTTATTCTTTATCTCACTATAGTTACCACAATGTCTCCTTCCCTTCCTTTCTCAACTCTCTTTATTTGTTTCAGAAAACTTCCATCTCTCTTGCCCTAAAATATAACATTATAGGCATTATGTGTTAACATAAATGACATTTCAAGTAAAAACAGGTATAATTTTCAAAATAACAATTTTATACATTTGTTTGGTATATTTACAAATCTCTTTAATGTCTGGCTCAATAGTAAACAGCTGGATTCTCACTTTTGCTTCTGCATTCATCTGTTGCAATCCGTTGTTTTGATTAAAGCATATGAAGAAAATCTGGCTTCTAGCATATATATAGTTATTTATAGTTGGGAAGGAAGGAACATTTTAATAGTCTTTTTAGATAACTATGGATTTTCTTTTTTATATTCAATAAATGGTGTTTCTTAAAGATTAGTTGCAATATGGAGTCTGAAACTGTGGCAATGAACTGCTTGTACTCTGTTCTATTAAACGCTTTCTCACACTTTGGCTCTTTCACCCAGATGTGATTTTGACCTTTGGGAAATATTGATTCACTGAGTTATGTGCCTTAACTGTGGACACACAATTTATGATATAATATCAAAAGACCACATTTGATATGTCTCCACCCATCTCTTCAGGAAAGTCTTTTAAGTATTTGGAAGCAAAGCCATGGTGACAGGTGCACAGAAATTCTAATTTTCCCTTGAAGTCTTGAATTTTAACTTTGACAACAAATATTCTCATTCACTTTCTTTTAAAACGATAGCCCAATTTTGTTTTGAAAAAATGTCAATATAGTACCCAAGTGTGAATAACTGTAGTATCAGTCATTCTGTCAAATGAAAAAAGTGGTTGACTCCATTCTCAATTCAATTGCCTGTTCTTTTCCTTTGAGGCAGCCATTCATTATACTTCTCTACATAGCAGAAAAGCTTTATGTGTATTGGTGTTTCTTATTTCATCACACAAAATATTAAAAGGATGTGTACTCAGTGATTGAGATTTAATGAATTAATATTTTTTACTGCTTCATCAATGATAAGCCAAAGTGAAACTGCCACTCCTGAGGCCTTCTAGTATCACGACTACTGGTACTGTATTGTTTCCAGCCAGGATTCATGCTAAGGCTGCAGCTGTCTTTTCCATCACTGCTTTGGTACTGTCAACCCAAATGTCAACACAGTGAAAAAGACAAATCAGGTTTTACTGCAACTAAAATGTTTTAATCTTGCAAATACCTCCCAAAAGTTTTAGGAACACCCAGGGTTGGGCCCATATACTTTGACAGCTGTGGATGTAGGTATAACATGTTTCTATTCATTCTGGTCTTTCCTGTTCTTCATTAAAACATTTTGTTTTGTTCTGTTTTGTTTCATTTAGAGCTAAGTTTACTCCAAGGTATTTTAGTTTTTATTATTACTGTGGAAAAGAAACCCTTCCTTTGAAAAACTACAGTTTAAGATTATAATGCTGTGGGAAGAAGATTGCCTCTAGATAGGGAAGAGGGGTGGGAGGGAACGTGAGGGAGAAGGGGAATTGCATGGATGGTGGAAGGAGACCCTCATCGTTGTACAAAATACATGTATGAAGATGTGAAAAAAAAAGAAAGAAAATAATTTCTTTCCTTTTCATGAAAAAGAAGACTCAAACTCATAATAGAATGCATGTTTAGGCATTATGTTCATAGACTTTTTTTTCTTACTTTTGCTTCATTGTTTTTTTTAGCACCTAATATATGTTTGTTTTCATATCATCAAAATTATTTCACCTCTATCCAAGAAATGCTGTCATATAAATTAGTGAAAATTTTGGAAGCTAGAGAGGAAAAAGGAAAAGAAAAGTGGGGGAAATCTCAATAAAATCAACAGGAAATCAGTAGAATAGAGGAAAGGGACCAAAGGGAGGGAGGACAGGAAGGAAAGGGGAAGTACTTCAAAATTATATTGGCCAAATTATATTGTTGTATTGTGTGCATGTATGAATATGTAACCACAAATCTCACCATTATGTACCATTATGTAATTATGTGCATTACACAATTATAATGCACCAATAAAATATGGAAAAAAAAGATTATAATGCTGGCATTTGAGAAAGCTATGGATTTTTACATACTCCAGTTGAATCAACATACTGAAATCTCAGATGGGAATTTCATAAAGCCCTAACCATCAGACTCTCGTAGGGTTCTGTGTACCCACAAATACCATGTGATAAAATGTTGTAGCTGAAAAACACTGAAACAAGGAGAACACGCTGCTCTTCATTCACCCTACACTCATTCCTCAGTAAAGGCTGTTATCAACAGTCAAAACACAGCCAGATATTCCCAAGATCCAGAGAGCGCAGGAGAAATGGTCGGTGGCAGTGAAAAAAACAATCTCCATCAGGCAACCAGCCCACCTCAACAGGACACCATGTGCTATGTATAAGCCATAGTCACTCTGATGGGTGCTAGAAATACACATTACCTCCTCGGGAACTCCCATTCGTTTAGCTGGAATATTCTGGAAGGACCTTGCAAACATGCTTTGTCCATTATCACCATAGCTGTCAGCAGCAGTCTGGGAATAGATTATTCCCTGTGTTTAAACATAAAAGAGGAATACAAGCATATAAAATTAAATTTTAATCGTAAAGACATCAAAGCAGTCTAACAATCAATACCAAAAATTACATGGCTTAAGTTTACTAGAAAAGTGAACATTTCTAATATTTAATTTTTCCCAATACTGTCAAAGAGGTATAGCTCACCACTGTCTACAGATGCACCACCTGAGTGCTCATCTGTGACCTCTTCTCCCTTAAAAACCAGCCAATCCCTGGATTTTTTCCATAGGAGTGTTGGTTTCCGAAGAGCATAATTATATAAGATCAGTGAGGCATTTAAATGGGAACAACAGGTCAGGGCACTCTTTCAACTTTATCTTCCACTAGGCAGCTCGGCTTCAGGAGGGAAGATTAGGCAATGCCTACATGAGACTTAGAAATACAGCATTTTCCTTTTCACCTAGTGTGGAATAAAGTAACAAAACATTTGAATCCAAAATAAATAAACTACAACTTTAATTGTTTCAGAATACTTCCACCTCTCTTGCCCTAGCTTTTCAAGGGCATAAGGCCAGGACAATTACTTGAAAACTGTACGTCACAGGATAATGCTATTTGCTCTAGATTCTAGCTAGAGGTCACGGGGAGAAGGAGAGAAAAGATGAAATTTCTTCAGTATGAATTACTCTGAATGATACTAGGGAGATATTTTGGTTTCCAATCAAATGATGTAGAACATTTTATTTAAAGAGGATGAAATATTTTAGAAGTACTAAATTTTAGATATTAAACCTAAAAAAATCTCTAAAGGACACACAGAATTAACATTGTGCTTTTCACACTGAATACCACTGAAGACTTTTTAGAAACACTTCTAGAAACCAGTATTTCACAATATCAACATTAAGAATGGCACTATAGAGCTGTGACTGTGGCTCAGCGGTAGAGCACTCGCCTAGCATGCATGAGGCACTGAGTTCAATCCTCAGAACCACATAAAGTAAGATAAAGACATTGTGCCACCAATAACTAAAAAAATAAATATTAAAAAAAGAATGGCACTGTAAATAATTTGTGCTATAAATATCTGAGCGTATTATGGATTAGGTAATATACTTGTGGAACACTAAAGCAATCTGAGGTTCTGGCTAGAGCTTGCAATTTTGTTAGAGAGAAAGTTTCTCTACTAACTTCAATAAGTCAGTTCATACTTAACTTCCACCGAATAGCAAACTAGATCTATAGATAATATCCAAAGGTATTATAGTGTTTCAGATGGAGAGATTACTACTATCTTAGCAATGACCAGAAAACATTATAGAAAAAGTAGAATTTAAGCCAAGTTGTACAGGATGAGTGAGATATTTCATCTCATGTCTCTCTTGGAATCCATGGCCAATATATAATACCAAGGAGACTTAGCTGTAGCTTACTTCATAAAAATGAGCTTTTGAAGTTGACTATGAGTATATTATAAATTTCCCCATCATTTACATTATGATTCAGAGAAATTTTCTCTTGACTTCTAATTGATCTTTTCTTTTTTTTTCTGATTTGATAGCTCCTTTCCAGAACCCTGATATTCATGTCCTCTCCTAATAATTAATGATAAGCCAAAACAATAACAAAATTATCTGGAAAAATTTATTCTTCAAAGCAGTGTTTCTTGACTTTCACTATGAATATAAATTTTCTAGGCTGATTTATAAAATGCAGATGCCTGGATTCCATGATTTGGAGTAAAGTTCAAACATCAATATCGTTTAACATTTTGCAAATAGTTATAAAACACACTGAGAATCACCCGCTGAATTTAACCTTGTTGACAAACTGATTGTCAATCAAAGACTACTTCTGTAATGCAACTTTGAGATTTTAATCTATCTTTTAAGTCAATCTTTTATAGTACACTTGTATATTTGTTACCTATGTAGCAAGCTAGATTGTTTGTTACCAACAATACAACTTAACAACAACACAAATGGCATCTAAAGAGCACAATTTGTCAACAGATTTCATATACAGCATTTACTTACAGGAGCAACACAATTGATCCTTACTCCACTGCTGGCCCATTCTACAGCTAAGGATTTGGTGAGATTGTAAACACCTTCCCTGGAAGCTCCACTGTGCCTTTAAGAACAAAAGATAAGCATTACAATGAACTTTTGTTGAATATTTTCTTCTTAATTAAGGTTGTCAGGTGTACCAATGACCAGGCAAAACTCTCCATGAACAATTTCGTTATGAGTCTCTGTATTATTGAGTCTCTGCTAGACAATGGGGGGAAAACTGGCTATTTTAGTAGTAAAGAGAGACTTATTTTGGCTCATGTTCTGGAGGTTCAAGTCCAAGATAGGGCAGCTGCATTTATTAAGGTGTTTGGCAAGGGAGGCACATGGTGCCATTTTTGGAGCAAGTATCACATCTCAAGCGAGAAAGATAAAGAGGCCAGGGTCCCTCAGTCCTTTTTGAGAGCATGCTCTCAATAAGTTAAGGATTTTCCACTCAGCTTCACCTCTTAAAGGTTAACAGCACCTCCCAATATCACTGCCATGGGGGCCAACCCTTTACATATGGACCTTTGAAGGACCCTTGTCCAAACAATAGCATTAGAAAAGGGCTGAACAAATTATATTTCATGCTTTATAGAGTGGCATTACATTAGATCACCATAAAAAATAAGAAGAAAACTCTTTAGATGCTGGTACAAATACATCCCCAACATATGTTGTGCATTTGAGAACAGCAAGATACAGAATAGTGTTTCTAGTATATCACAACTTTTACTTATAGACAAGGAAAAGAGATGCTCAAAAACTAATATTAGTACTTGCCTGGGTGAATGAGAAATGCCTGAAAGAACTGATTTTATTTCTTCTAAGACCCAAGGAAGGTAAACAAGTAAGAAAGGGTAATAAGTGGAAAAGGAACTACAATGGCATAATTTGCCTGCATTCTATACTCTTTTGGGGTAAGGTGATGTTAATTCCCACCCCTTGGCCATACTCAGTCCATGTCCATGTGGTGTTGACCCCAGTTCCTCAGACCTTGGGATGACCATGCATGGAAGAGCCACAGGATTTGGTTGATGGCTACACTCGTGACCCAAGCAGGGTCAGTGTTATGCTTTGAATATGAGGTGTCCCCCAAGAGCTCCTGTGTTAATACGGGAATATTCAGAGGTGAAATGATGGGATTGTGAGACCTATAACCTAATCGGTCCATCCTAGTTCCAATGAACTAATGGGGTGAAAACTGTAGGCAAGTGGGGCATGATTGAAAGAGGTGAGTCACTGGAGGCTGCCCCTGGAAGGGGTCATCCTCGCTGAGGCCCCTTCCCCATCCCTGCTTCCAGACCCCACCATGAGATGAGTCATGCTCCTCTGCCACACCTTTCTGCCATGCGTTCTGCCTCATCTTGGGCCCAGAGCAATGGACTGGCCAATCATAGACTAAACCTTTGGAACTGTGAGCCAAAACAAACTTTTCTTCCTCTAAGTTGTTCTTGTCAGTCTTTTGGTAACAGCAATGAAAAGCTAACTCACACAGTCAGCTAATGGGAATCCTCTCTAGGACTTGCTAGTACTGGCATTGTTAGAATTATCTTTCTCAGCACTATTTGAGAAGCACTCTCTCACTGGAGAGTTAGGAAGAGCAGGAATGTTGACCTCTGTCTCCTGTCAGTATTCTTTTTTTGCCACACGTAGGCCTGCTTGGAATGAAACAAAGCTAAAAGGAGGGCACCTTCCTGCCAACATCACGTCTAAACCTACAGTGTCCCTAGTTCAGGGACCAGCATCACACAGGATGCAGAGCTTGCTCTCAGAGCTTCTGATAAAGCAGATGTGAAGAATGCACAGTTCTGACAAGTTCTCACCTGAGGCTGACACTGCTGTTCCAGAAACCACATTTGGAGAATCACTAATCTAGCTTGAATTATATTTCTATCCCATACAATTGAAGGGAGTCCTGAATAATACAGGAAGCAAATAGGGCATCAGAATTTGCATAAAGGAAACAAACTATCTACTTGTAGAGTGGCTAATTAAAAGTTTAAACTCTTAGAAACTTTTTGGGGAAAAAATCTGGGTTTTTGTTAGGAATAACAATTTAGCAATTCTGTCTAAAATTAAATAGGTATATTCATGGTATTCAGATCTAAGTTAACAAAGATCAGTTCAGTTTCATGTCCACACCTTAACACAGAAGCTGTCCTCCATCAGTGATGGGTAGTTTAGTAACATTTGGATTACAGTTGCCAGGTAAAATGCAGGACACCCAGTTAAATGTGAATTTCAGATAAATAACGAATAATTCTTCAATTCACGTACTTAAAACACATTTATAAAAAAAAATTATTTAGCTGGGCATCCTGGTTTTCCCTCTCTTTCTCAGTAAACATGGCAACCCTAATCTGAATGGGCATGCTTTAGAAGTACATTTTAAAACTTTAAATAAAATGAAATGCTAAGTATTGTTGTCACAACTCATTGAAGGCATTAATCATCTTGATTGAGGGTATTTTTCCCTACCCCACTCTATCAACCCCATTCAGAGGACAAAACCCAAAGACATGGGAAGATAAAATGTAAAAATGCTTACGCAGCAAGTGGAAATCCACTTTTAATAAGGACAATGATATTAACAATAGATCCTCCGTGCTCTTTCATCCAGAGTTTGTAAACTACAGAAAACAAACAACAATCATCTTAAACAGTGTCCTCTTTCCTGATATCTTGTTCCAGCATGCTGCTTACTGGATATGCTTTCCAATTTAATTTATATTTCTTCTTTTAAAAAGCCTGATCACAGTACAATTTACATATCCTAAAATTCACCCATTTTATATATATAGTTTAATAATTTTAAGCAAATATACAAATTACACAATCATCACCACAATTCTGTTTTGAACATTTAAATCACCCCAAAAAGTTCCTTTGTACCTATTTGAAGCCAAATTCATCCCCCTAGGTAGACTTATCCTTTGTTTTTATAGAGCAACAAATTTTGCATTAACCTTTTCTGAACATTTCATATAAATTGAATCATGCAATATATTGAGGTCTTTTGGATCTGGCTTTTTCTACTTAGAATAATGTCTGTGAGGTTCGTCCACATTGCAATGTGTGAATAGTTCCTTCTTACTGCTGAGCAGTATTCCATTGTATAGATATGCTACATTTGTCCATTCATTAATCACTGATAAACTTTTGGATTCTTTCCACTTCGGGGTGATTATGAATAAAAATCTTTGTGTGGACATGTCATTTTCCTTGGATAGATATTTATAAGTAAAATTACAGGGTCATATGACATCTCTATGTTTAAATTTTTAAATCCTTTTTTGGTGCTGGGGATTGAACCCAGGGCCTTGTACATGCAAGGCAAGCACTCTACAACTGTGCTATATCCCCAACCCTTATGTTTAACTTTTTAAAAACAAACTATTTTCCAAAGTGGGTCCACCACTTTACATTCCTATCAGAAATACAGAGGGATTTAGTTTCTCCACACTTCCATTGTCCGACTTTTTGATTATATCTATTCTAATGGGTATACAGTGGTAAAATATGGATTTTCCTAATGACTAATGAGGTTGATCTACACATCTATCCTTACGTCAGCATGACAGCATCTTAAAATCAAGAAGTAGCTTTGAAATCAATAAGTGTAAGCCCAAAATTGGTTTGGCTATTATGGGTCCTTTTCATTTCCATATATATTTTAGGATAAGCTTTTCAATTTCTACAAATATTGATAGGAATTCACTGAATCTATAAATCCATTTGGGGAAAACTATCATCTTAACAATATTGAATCTTGGGGCTGGGGATATAGCTCACTTGGTAGAGTTCTTATCTCACATGCACAAGGCCCTGGGTTCAATCCCCAGCACTACAGAAAAACAAAACAAACAAACAAAAAACAATATCAGACCTTTCAACTCATTAATATGGAATGTCCTTACATTGCTTAAATCTTCTTTAATTTATCAGCAATGTTTTATAGTTTTTGACATACAAGTATGACACTCCTTTTGCTAACTTCATTCTTAAATAATTTATTTTTTGAGGCCCCATTTGATATCAAAGCACTCATTCTATTCACACAAAGCAAGACAATGCTAGAAGTACCTCCAGACTCTCTTCAACAGAAATAGGAATTTTAAGAATTTAAATATCAGAGAAAAATGATACCCAATTCTTCCTAAAGCTTTAGCAAAAATAAGAATGCCTTGCCATTACTTAATCAGACTAACTTTTAAAAATGACAAAAAAAAAAAAAAAAAATGAAGGTGAAACCCTAGTAAGGAAGATACAAACTATAATGTACTTAAATTTTAGACACTTTTTTTTTCACATTATTTGCACATTGCTAAAATCAGGATATCTTTATAATTAATGACATCTTATAATTATTAGTATTTTTCACTTTTTCAATAACATAGAATGGTGGGACATTTCATAAGTGATTATACCTTTGACTTAATAAAACACAGTGGTTATTTTTAGACAATATGCTATAATCCTAGAATACCTAATGGATAATTCAACAAATCATTAGATAAAGCTGCAAATCATCAGATAAAGCTACAAGATGAGCCTGAAAAAAATACTTAATAAACCAACAATCACCCAGCTGAAAAATAATTGGAATGAGCTGATTCAAAATAGCAATATCAAAAAAAAAAAAAAAACTAAGTATAATCATTAATTTTAAAATGTGAAATCTATATGACAAAAACCACAAATCTTTGCCAAAAGATAGAAAAGAATGATTCATTAGTGAAAAGATAAGTTATGATGGGGAAACTGAATATGTAAATATTATAATTATTTTCAAATTATTAAGTTTAACAACATTCAATCAAACTCCCAACATGATTTCTGTGGAAGAAACCTGACTATAAAATTCATCTGAAAGAATGCATAGTCACGAAGAGCCAAGAAAAGTTTGAAAATTCAAAGAAACAAAGCAACATTTGCCAAATCAAATGTTAAAAACTATATAAAACCATTTTATAATAGTATAAGAAAGGAGAATAAGTTTATTTAAATTACCCTACATGGATTTTCTGCTTCAGGATAAATACCACTATATAGTTTACAACTCTAAAATCATTTTTGTTTCTGAAATTCTGACACTTTCTAGGGTTCAGATGTGGGTATTTCTTCAAGTTATCTGAGATACATACAGATACCAAGAACAAATGTAAAAGAAGAAAGGCAAAGATACAAGAAGAATGTTTCCTAAAACATGGAAGATTTATAAGCAACTACCAACATGAGAAGAAATCACAGTAATTGTAATATAAAATGATTTGGAGAAAGCTAGAATGTTGTTTCTTAATATCCAAATTAGAGAACAAACCCCATAGTCTAAATGGATTAAGTATTCTTTTTTCTTTTTTCCAATTTTCTTTTATGGTTGTAAAATACTCATAACATAAAATTTACCATCTTAACCATTTTGAGTTTACAGTTCAGAGTATTAAGTACATTCATGTTATTGTGCATACATAGCCACCAACCATTTCCAGAACTTATTTCATCTTGCAAAATGGCAACTCCATGCTCATTAAATAATAATTTTCCATTCCCCTATTCCCAGACCCTGACAACCACCATTCTACTTTACAGATCAAGAGTTCTCTTACAAGAGTTGAAAGTATTGGTGTTTGATGGGTTTTAAAGCAGCATAATGTATACAATGGAGAGTACATGTGGATTTGAAAGACTAGAGTCTAAGGCTTGCTTTGAGGTGATAGTGGGTTAGTTGGACTAAACCTATGCTAGATATGATATTTTATATTCTACCTACATCAAGGAGGCACTGTGAGTGTCAAAGGAGATAACCATTGTAAAAATTACTTCTGCAAACTTCAATAAAACTTTAAGAAAATTAAAATACTTTCAAGAGTTGACAATTTAAGAATATCTCACAGGAAACTTGTATAAAACTGACTTTTCTATTGTTAAAATAAGGTCATAGGAAATAATCTTTATATGCTTATTCTCAAGATAAGAATAAAATAAAACAAAAACCCTGTTTTCGTGCAGAAAAGATACAAACATGGAATGGGAAAAAGTGAGGAAGGACTTGGATTCGAATTGAGATATCAAGATGAACTCATTATTTTCCTCAATATACTATAAAAATGCCAAATATAAACAGAAAGAGACAGAATGACATTATAAAGCCCAGAGGTACTTTAAAGATTAGCTACATTCCCAGCCCTTTTTATTTTTTATTTTGAGACAGGGGTTCACTAAGTTGCTGAAGCTGGCCTGGAACGTCAATCCTTCTGCCTCAGCCTTCTGAATCACTGGGATTAGAGGTGTGCACCACCGTGCCTGGCTCATAGCTAATCTTGTTTGATCTACACTCCCATTCATTTGTCTACTTCTCAGCTAATTTTGGAAGCCAATTCTAGATATCTTATTATTTCATCTATGAATACTTATCTTTGAATTAGAAGAACCTTTTTGGCAACATAATCTCAATACTTAATTAAAAGTACTTAATTAGCGATAACTTCTAAACATCATGAAATATCCATTCAGTGTGTATATTTCTCTGAATTTGTAATCATTTCTTAACAGTGTGTCTGTAGGAATCAAGTTGCAAATAAAGCCCACACATCACATTAGTTGATATGTCTCCTCTTCTCCTCCAGTGTCCCCTTCACCTCCTCCCCCTTCCATACTTGTAGTTTTTTGGTTAAAGTATCTGGGTTGTATTACAATTCTTTACAGTCTGGATTTTGCCAACCACACTCTATATTATCATTCAGTATGAATCCTGTCCCCCATATTTCCTGCAAAATAGTAGATTCTATTTTGATGTCAATAAATATATAATGACTTAATTTTAAAAATCATCAACTTGTAACCTCCAAATTAGAAATGAACTCTAACAAGGATCAAAAATGCCATTAAAACTCATTGGGTAGAGGGTCATGGTGGTATATGCCTATGATACCAGCAGCTCAGGAGGCTGAGACAGGAGGATCACTAGTACAAAACCAACCTCAGCAATGGCAAGGTGCTAAGCAACTCAGTGAGACCCTGTCACTAAATAAAATAAAAAATAGGGCTGGGGATGTGGCTCCGTGGTTGAATGATCTAATAGTCAAGATCTTAAATAAGTGATCAAATTCAGTTAGGATGAACAACAGCAAACTACAGCCCTCCAGATGTAATGTAATAAGAAGTAGATAGGTCATACATATTGGGTTCTTTCCAGAAATCTTTAAAGCAAATCTAATCAGCGCAAGAACAGTAACAGAAATCCAGAACATGGGACATTCTATAAATCAATGTTGTAAAATAAAAAACAAAAAGAGCATTTTTATTTGTTTTTAGATTAGAGGAAACTAAACAGACAAAAAACATCTATGAAGTTTTATATTATCCTAGATAAAAATGAATGGGGAATACATGTTCATGGTATGAGGCTTCTGAGCCCCTACAGGTTTCTCTTTCAGCCTTCTCCATGATCTCTCTCTCCATAAGAACAGATATTGCAGATATTGATGACACTCACCTGCTTTGCACATATAAAAGGTGCCTGTCAAGTTGGTTTCAATCACAGCATGCCATCCCTTTGAACTGATATCTTCAAAAGGAGACAGGAACTGGCCTCCTCCATTGTTTACCAAGAAATTGATCTTACCATAAATAGCTAAGGTAGATTTAATCAAATTATCCACCTAAAGAAAAACATTAAAAGTTCAATAACCTAACTTGCTATTTGGACTGCTCATTTATTCTAGAAGTGTGGCAGAGCTTACACTCTCTGACAGTGAACACCAACTCTGAGTACTACAACCAATGAACTTTTGGTCAGCAATGAGCAAACATAAAATTCCTACCCCAATGAGTAGTTTGCCAGTGTCCAATACTCACATATCATAAAATTAAAATTGTAATTTTGACAAGATATACCTAAAAGTCTGTATCAATTCTAAGTATAGAAGGTGTCAGGCATATTAATTTGTGACCTACCAATCATGAATAAGGAACAGTGATGAAATCAGGTCAAAATGAACATTAACAAATGTCTTACGCAAGGTGTGGTGGCACACGCCTATAATCCCAGCAGTTTGGGAGGCGGAAACAGGAGGATTGCGAGTTCAAAACCAGCCTCAGCAAAAGTGAGGTGCTAAGCAACACAGTGAGACCCTATTTCTACATAAAATACAAAACAGAACTGCAATTGTGGCTCAAACCCCTGGTTCAATCCCCAGTCCAAAACAAATATTAAAAAAAAAAGAAACGCCATAAAAGACAAGAGGCCCTTTAACACATCCTTGCTTAGCTACCCTGTCTTGCTTTCTTCCATCCCCTTCTCTTGAGTCACTGGTTCAATAAATCATCAGCCCAAAAATCTTCTTACAGGCTCTGTTAGACAGCCCTTTCTGAGATAGCTACCACAGCAGAGCCTGAAGCACAGCCAGGTTTAGGCATCACAAATGCTAATGAAAATTAGTAGATATATTTGCATTGACTTATTTGCATTGATACATTAGTAGATATATTTGCATTACCTCCTCTTCTTTACGGATGTTGCATTGCAGGGGAGTGACCTGAGCCTGGCTGGAGGGAGGTAGGGTGGATTTCAGTTCCTTTGCAGCAGATTTTAGTCTTTCGATTTTCCGGGATGCAATGACCACATTACACCCTTAGGAATAAATAGGCAGAGAACAAATAAAGAAGTTTTCATGAGTTGTCCAAATTCCAACAATAATAATGTACAGAAGACATTTTGTGTGCTGTGTTCCTTTAAACAACAAAAACAAACAAACAAAACCTAATCAGAATGTCTTCTCTGGACAAGATGAAATAGTAGAAAACTGAAATTCTCTTTAACCTGAAACACAAAACTGGATAAAATATATGAAACAATGGTTTTCAGGCATTGGACATCAAAAAAGCACTGGACTACAAACTGTCATCTCTGAGAGCAGAAACAAACATGTGAGCCCTATGATTATGCCAGCTTATCACCTGGAGAAAACTTCCAGACCACAGCACAGGAGGGACTCATTCACAGGTCAGAGTTCTCCCTGAGTGGAAGGGATGAAGTTGGAAGTCTAAGAAGTCCTAGCAGCTGGTTATACAGGGTGTAGAGAGACAAGAGACACCAAAATCTGCAGAGTCCTTCTTGAATCCTCAGCAAAAGTACTGACGGAAATACATGAACAGGCTAGAGAAAGAACTTCCCAAAATGAGCAGAAGGAACAAACCCTGTCCTGGGAAACAACACTGGGAATAGTTATTGTGCTGACTAGAAAAAATGTTTTACCTAGATGGTGCTTAGATGTTTCACAGGGTGAAGTGAATAATGGTCTCAACAGCGAGGTTAAGTTAGACATAAACTAATTACTGAGACCAACACTTAACTTTAAAAAGCGAGTCTCCTTCAAAGTATCAAAATATTTTAATTTAACTTTCATCCCAGAAAAAAGGCTTAAGAATACTTATAAGAATATAAAAATTGTCATCATCCAACAAGGTAAAATTCAATCCATAATCCAACATGCAAAGGAACAGGAAAGTAACAACCCATAATGAAAAGAAGAGCCAATTTATAAAATACCCCAAAATGACACTGATGGTACAATTAAATAAGCTCCTGATAAAGAAAAAATCTTAAAACCAGCCAAAGAAAAACAATGTCATACATACAGAACATAAAAAGATAAGGACTTTTTCACAAACAGTGAAATCCAGAAGACAGTGGCATAACATTACCTGTTGTATGAAAAAGAGAAAAATGAATAAGATTGTGGACTTAGAAATCCTGATCCAGTGAAAATATCTTTCAAAAATGATGGCAAAATAAAAACTTCTCGGACTAGGGTTGTGACTCAAAGGTAAAGTGATTGCCTGGCATGCACAAGGTCCTGGGCTAGATCCCCAGCACTATAGGGGGTGTCGGGAAGAAAAAGAAAAAGTACCTCTTCACACATATGGGAACTAGAAGAATTCATCAGAACAAACCTGCTCTTAAAAAAAACAAAAGAAAGAAAGAAAGAAAGTGCTTCAAACAGAAGAAAAATTATTCCAGATGGAAAGTTTAATCTACACAAAAGAGAGAATCCGTGATGGTAATTATGTGAGTGAGTGAATAGGGAGATTTTTCTTCTTCCTATTCAAATCTCTTTAAAAAGCAGTGATAATTTAAAGCACAGATAATAACAATGCATTGTGGGTTTTAAAATATACATACATTTTTTTCTTTTTTTCTTTTTGGTACGATATGTCAAGATCATTGTACTGTCATGTGTAACTAATTAAAACAAATGAAATAAAATATACATACACATAAAATGCTTCCCACCTTCTTGAGAACAATAGTCCCTTGTTTTGCTCAATTCTAACATATACTAATTCCAGTTGCCTTATCTTAGTTAAATGCCACCAGTCCTTCAATAACATGAACCAAGTTTGATGATGGTACATTAGGTCTGAGAAACTACATAATATACAAACTTTCCTGCTAGCTCTTCAGCCTACAAAGCAGTAGATAAAAAATTCAATTCACATCATGGAGGGTGACTTATCAAGTCCTTTCTTTCAAATGGTACAAAGGGGCACAGGAAAACATTTGGGGGTGACAAATTCCTTTCAATCTTCAACTCAGAATACCACATTTATTAAGCACCTTCTGAATCCCTGATGACAGCACTAAAAGTGCTGTCTTGTCACAATTGCCACTTGCCTTTTACTTTCCTTTTAACTACCGAATCTAATTCATGTTCTGCTAGAGTAACAGAAAGAGAATAATTAACTTGAAGACAAAGTAAAAATGTGTTTTGTCTGATATATGTAAGCTGGAGAGAAAAAAGGAAAATAAGGGACCTCATGAAAACAGAAGGGAGATGGAGTTAGAGAAGATAATGCTAAGTGAAGTTAGCCAATCCCCCAAAACCAAATGCCAAATGTTTTCTTTGATATAAGGAGGCTGATTCATAGTGGGATAGGGAGTGGGAGCATAGGAGGAATAGAGGAACTCTAGATAGGGCAGAGGAGTGGGAGGGGAAGGGAGGAGGCATGGGGTTATTAATGATGGTGGAATGTGATGATCATTATCATCCAAAGCACATGTATGAAGACACTAATTGGTGTGAATATACTGGGTATACAACCAGAGATATGAAAAATTGTGCTCTATATGTGTAATAAGAATTGTAATGCATTCTGCTGTCATATATAAATAATAATAATAATAATAATAATAAAACATAAGGGAGACCAGTAGACTAGAGGAAGGGGTGGAGGAGGGAAAGTAAAAGGGGAATAAAGAGGAATGAAACAAACTAAAGTATGTGTTACACATATAGGAATGTATCATAATGAATTCTATTGTTATGTATAATGATAATGTGACGATAAAAATACTTTTCAAAAAGACTGGCTTGAATTCAACTTGAGTAGTCTTGAGTATTCCTTGACAGAATCAAGACTTCCTCTAACAGCATCTGTCAATCAGAGAAAAGGTATCCAATTCTGTCTCCTACCGCTTTCTCTTGTTAGCTGGGGCTTTCCGGTGTTCTCTCAGCAAAAGGAAAAGCCAAATCATGTGGATGTGAAAGACAACCCAATAATCGCCATTTTACTCAAGCTGTAATTCAACCCCCAAAACAGTGGCCTTTTCACTGGAAAAGAATAGATAATATTTTATTCTATTTGCCTAATTTGGGTTTACATAACAACTTTCACTAAATAACCATTAATTGTCATTAAAAAATAAAGATGAGAAAGTCATAACAAAAAATTATTTTATATTCTTCCATTAAAGGAAATCCATTTTCAATACAACAACAAAAATGTTTGGTTTTTTTTTTTTTAGTATATGAAATATTTTTCTTGGGAGATGCTCCATCACTTTTATCATCATCCCAAGATTATAATATCACTGTGTTAATGTTTCAGTTTGTGCCATAATAATAGTCTGCCACCTTCCCCACAAGGATATAATGTTTGGCCAATACAAATTTACCAAAAACAAAAAACTCAAATGCATGAAAATATACTGAGAGTTCTGTCAGGTAAACTAGGATCCTACAAATCTGCTGAGAGAAGCCAAATGCCTACCCCTTCCATAAAATGATCACCAATTCAGATTTTCTTATAATTGTTTCATGAAAGGGGACAGAGTTTAGTGTTAGGAGTGGAGAAGGCAGGAATGGTAATCTGCAACACCAAAGCCAGAACAGGAAATGTTATTTTTCCTCTTAAAAATGTATATATTTCCATTTCTTTAAAATATAATAGTTTTGTTTGTTGTTGTTGTTTTGTTTCTTAGTTCATACCATGCCAGATCTTGGAAACACAATAGTTACCAAGATAATTTACATGTTCATTAAAAAAAAAATTGAAGGATTAGGAATAGACCACTTGCCCAGTATGCAATAAGCCCTGTGAGTTCGATCCCCATCAACAGCAAGGAAAAAAATAACATACTTTATATACAGAGATATGAAAAATTGTGCTCTATATGTGTAATAAGGATTGTAATGTATTCCACTGTTGTCATGTATTAAAAAAAAAAAAGACAATTTTAACCAGTCATAAAAAATGCTAACAATGTTATAAACTTCCATCCAGTCTTTTTATTTATTTTTCATTAGCAATCAAACTGAAATACTATTTTCTTTATAATCCTGTTTTGTCCAATTATATGGTATGCATTTCTCCACATGACGTCTTCAATAGAAAGATTTATTTGTGTCAATATAATATTTCATTGTGATTGATTTAACTATTTCCCTCATACTGGATATTTAGGTTATTTCTAATTTTTTCACTACATGAATAATATAATACCCATGAATTCAAATCTTTACTTGCCTCATTGTTTCCTTGGAGTAAATTCCTGAGAAATGAATTACTAAATCTAGAGCATGAACACTGTAAAACTTTTGGAATTTTTTTTCTAAATATATTTTTCCTGCCTTTCTCACGCCCTCATCAACACTTCAATTTTGTACAAGGTTTTTAAACTGTTAGAAAAACAATAGTATCTTATTGTTTTATTTTGTATTTTATTACACATAAAGTTGATTATTTTCTCAGATACTTATTACCTCTTTGTATTTTCTCTTTTGTAATGCTTAGTCATATCTTTAGCCTATTTTTCTATCACTATATTGGCTTTTTGTGTATTTGTAAGGGCTCTTTATATAATAAGACTATTTGTCTTATGTTGTAAATTTTTTCTTTATAATCCTTTAAACTTTTTAACTCATTGAAGATTGACGTCTTCAGATAGGTAAGTTTATCTGTTTTTCTCTGGGTGGTTCTTTCCTTGTGTATATTTACAAGGTCCCTTTTTCATCCAAGCTAAGATAGATATTTACTATTTTAGGGGAGGAAGATTATGACAAGAGATGTGAGAAAATAATATGAAAGGAGCCTCTCAATGTGTTGACGACCTTTTCTAACTAAATGAACCCTCGCCGTGCTTCATAATCACTGGAATTGGGCAGCATTTAGAAGGTTAATTTTAAAACAAATACACAATTCCATGGCATGTGCCTACCTCAGGCACAGTACGTTTGGCTCCAAGCCCCTGTAGTTTATACCTAGTGACTCCAGGTCCAAGGTTTCTCCCCGATTTCCAAGAAAGAACACTTCTCCCTCCTCGCAGTTGTAATTTGGCTCACCCCTAAGACCCCTTTGCTTTACAATGCTACCCTACCCCGGACCCGCAAGCAGCCTCTGACGTCCAAACCCGTTACCGCAGCCGGGCCTTTGCAAACCCAAGGCTCTAGGTGCCCAGGTCAAGAGACCTGCACGCGTACCCAGGTGCAGAAGCTCCTTCGCGATGGCCTTTCCGATGCCGGTGGCCCCGCCGGTGACGATGGCCGTTTGGTTCTGCAGCAAACCAGGGGCCAGGCAGCTCTTGCCCTTTGTCCAGGAGCCCATAGTCCCGAAGCGACAGAAGCGTAGCGCCCGCAGGACTGCGTCAGCTTAGTTACCCAGAGGTAGGCGGGGCTAAGGGCCCCGACCCACGTGATCATCAAATCCCGCCCCGCCCTGGCCCCGCCCCCAAGGCGGCCGCCTGGCTTTCTCCCCAGCTGCACGCTCTCCTGCGACCGCCTCCAGCAGTCAGCATCCTCCACCAGCTTGGGTCCACAGGCACTTGTGAGTGAGATTCCTTTTTCTTTCTTTCTTTTTTCTTTCCTCTTAAAAAAAAAAATCTCGATGGCATTGGAGGGGAAGGGAAATACACACACACACATACACAAAGCGAGTGTGTGCTGTACTTTGAAAATTTAATCCTCGGGGCCATAGCTCTCCTGGTTAATTAAAATTAAATCTCCAGTGCATCTGGAAAAAAGAAAGGCTGCAGCTCGCGGCCTTGGATGCGCCCACCAGCGTCAGACATCAGGCTGGGTTTCAGCTAATGTGTGCCACTGGCTGGGAAAGGAGAAGGGTAGGTAGGGGAAGGAAGTGCAGCTTCCAGATCCCTTCAGCTTCAGGGATGGAGCCCTGGGAAGAAAGGTGGGGAGGGGGGTGGCAGAGAAGGTAAGGTTGCAGTCATCCACTAAACCAAGATAATAAATGATTTAAAAAATAAACTCAGGCCCACTTCCACCTCATCTCCTACGCCCCACCCAGGAATAAAAAACAAAAAGTCACCTCTAACCAGATCTGAGGTCCGATCATATCAGTCGGGCTATGTAACAAGTCAAAAGGGGAATCTTTCTTTGGAGGATGCATGCTTCCTGCAAGACTCATCTGTAGGTTTATGCTTGAGTTCCTGTCTTCTAGTTCATTCCCTACAGAAAGACTGCTGAAGATGGGGGGAATTTCTCACTGTGTGTTGATGTTCAGTAACAGGATTTTATTATTCAGATGCTGCTCCTTATTTTCACCTTAAGAACTTGGCAGGTCTGTTGAATGTGTCAGGTGCAGTGATCTTAGACTAGACAAAATGCTTTTTCTAAGTCTGTTGTTATAATGCAGTATTTTTCCTGCCAGGTATTAAAATCATGTAAAAGCCAGCAGATGCCATCATTTTGTTGTTGTTGAGCCCACCACTTAAAATTCACCAAGCTAATTGAAAATGGGTCTGGTTAAGAATGGAACCAGACATCACTTCCTCCCCTGGGTTCCTCCCACCAGCAAGACTGCAGTTTTTGTTGGACAATTACACTTCCTCCCTGTTCTTCCCTCCTCTTGCCCTTCTGTGACCTCCTTTAGAAACACTTCCCCTCTGTCATTGTTACTGAGGGATTCCAATCTATACTCATTAAAGAAAAGAAGGAAGCTCTTCTGGTTCATATTGACTAGAGAACTGAGTGAGGAATCACATACCCTTTTACATAAGTCAGTTATATAGATAGGACAAAAAATTAAAAATTACACCATTGCCACATTCTTTTTTTTAAAGTAAAATAGGAAAGTCCAAAGTATTGTAAAAAAGCAGAATTCCTGGTGCTTTGATCCCACTGATGAAGTTTTGTTCTTTGGTTGGTTTGTCGTGCTGGGATTGAACCCAGGGCCTTGTACATGCCAAGCAAGTACCACTGAATTACACCTCTAGGCCCCAGAGTATGTTTTGTAAGCAGAAAAAGAAATATTGTCTCAATTCTCAGGGTTATGAAAAAATTCAGAATTCTGAGAAATTCAGTCTTGCTTTCTTTTGGGTGGGAGCACTTTAAATTCCCTTTCAAAAATTATTTTTATTTTGTTAGTGTTTGGTTTATCTCACAGATAATGTCATTGAAGGTATAAGGTATTGTGGTTTCTGGCCTGACCTGTGGATTCTCAGAGATGTGCCAGGGTAGGTCATTGCATGTACAATGCAGTACTGTGTGGGCCTGGTTTATTACAGCCTCTGTGTGATCACTGAGTGAACTGAGAGAGGGAAGCTGCCATCTTCCAGTGAAAAGGTGACTAGGAGCCGGTGATGCCTACGAGGATGACACATGTTTATCCTAGCTACAGGGAAGTTGCAGGATGAGCAGTGAGAAAGCTCTTTTTCATAATCTAGGTAAGACTTGTGATTGAGATGTGGAGTCTCTTCAAGGGATCTGTTGTTTAAAATAAGGAGATATGGTCTCTTTGCCTGTGCCTCTGATCTCAGGGTCTAAAAATCTGCTACCCACCCCAAAAGCCTGTTGGCACAACAGTTCTACTTGGAAGCTCTGCTTTCAGATTTTAATTCTGGCCCCCAGGTGAGCCTTCTCTTGTGAGGACCACCATGCCATCCTTCAGCGACCACTCCTATGGCTGAATCAAACACCACTCTTCCCTGCACTGTTCCACATCACTGCCCCCTTTGTCCTGAGGGAAAAAGGCATGCTGTAACTATGCTCCTTCCACACCCCCTGCTGCCATCACCCCTTAGCAATAACTCCCTTCCTCTTCTGTGAGGCTCTTGTTGTAGGGACAGATGAGGCAAGGCACCAACGATGGCAGGAAACAGTTTTATTTGGCTGGAGCCAAGTTCAGAGGGCACAGCTTTTGCTGTAATCAATCAATTAATCCCCTGAACTCCAAGTTCAGGTAGTTTCAGAGTTTTATAACCAGCATGTAAGGGGAGGGGCTCAGAAGTTCACAGTCTGTAGAAGTTCACATAAAAGCAGCTTTTTCACTGTTTTTGGCAAGTTAACCCTTCAAGGACAACACCTGAGAAGGGGAGAGCTTCTTCTCCCCTTTCTTTCCTCCCCCTGCCAGATGTTACCATGGAGCCCAATTGGTAACTTCTCTTATCTTAGAAATGTAGACTTCTCTGTGAAGCCCCAGCTCAAGGCCAGAGGCCTTGTTTGCACATTTCTACAAACTACTATACTGGATACATTTGTGAAAAACTAGTAAGGGGGTGTTCCAGCACTGATTTCTTCTTGGCCAGTGGTCAAGCAAGATAGGGCAACACGAAAATAGGTAGTTTATCTACATTGAACTCTTTTTGCAGAGACTCTTTTGCTGACAGTCCTAAAATCAGGCATGGTGAAGATTTCTGGAGAAGCCCAGTGAAGACTTTTCTGTGGAGAAAGGGGGTGCCTCTACACTCTTACTGCTCACCCATCTCCTCACCCCTCCTTTACCCCATCTGCCTGGTAACTTTATTTTCTTCCCTCTGCAAAGCAGCTGCTATCTCAGACAGACAGGAGCTTGTGGGATTCTCAACATGTAGACTCACAGAATCTCAGTGCTGAAGGAATGCCAGTGAGGCATCTAGTCCTGTCGCTGCCTTGAAGCTAATCCACTCCTGAGCCAGCTCACATGAATACGACTCAACCAGTTAACAACGTTCAGCCGATATTTATTGAGCACCTACCACGTACCAGGTACTGTTCTAGGCACAGGGATACGGTACAGTCAACCAGACATTTTCCTGTCTTTGTACAGCTTATGTCCAGCATGTAGGGATTCTGGGAGTGGGAGTGAGGGGTGGAAGGAGGATGTGTGTCACAAGAGGTAGGACAGTAACCAAGCAAAACAGATCAGAGACTGAAGATCAGGTCTTACAGCTCTCACAATAAGGAGATGTTTATGTCCTTTTAACCAAATATCTTTGCTGCTGGGAACTGTTTCTTCTATGGACACTCAGGAGCTGTGACCCTGCTTCAGTGTGAGAGCCTTACGGCACCACACAGGCTGTGCAGTGATGAGAGAACTGCTGCCCAGAGGATTTGCAGCAACTGACGGGGGGCTGGGAGTTTGGAGGTGCTGCTCCACTGCAGTTCCAATCACTTGACACAAGTACAAACCAGATTCCTTTCCACCTTTACATCAACGAAACTGTCTTTCTGAGAGGAGATAATGGTAATTTTCAGTGGTAAAATGGTAGCTTTATTTCCTAGTTGGTAGCAAACCTAATGGTGGTAAGTTAAGATGTAATTAGCATAATCTGCCCATCCCAGATGGGTGATATGTGGTCCTTTTGAGTGACAGACACACAAGTCAGTGAAGAGTTGAAAGAACAGCAGAACTAAAGGCATAATTCATGTAGTGATAAATTAACTTCAAAATAATAAAACTCCACCCTTGCAGCTCCGGTTGTTCAGATTCAACATGGGAAAGATGCAGAAAGTCAACTCCTAATGTTCTTAACCCACTGGAGCAGGTACACCCTGATTTGGAAACAGTTGGACAAAGGTTACTAATTGGCAGCCCATTTATGTTTTGTTTTGGTTATTACACATAGTAACTTTCTTAAATTTGGTCTAATTGCAACAATTAAAATCAAAATTTTGCGTGAAATTTCAGACAACCCATACCAAATGGGCCTGCCTTTCTCTATGAAAGGGGCGGGCTGAACAGTAGATGTGGTGGGTGGAGAAGAGGGGAACAGTAGCTTCCTGCTTTAGATGAGACTTGAGATCTTGTATTTTCCATAAACCCTACCACTTGCTATTGTATCTGCAAGGCTTGGCGTCACTACCTTTTTCTAGCTTATTTCAGCCATACTTCAACCACATACATTACTGCTACCTTGCAGTGAATACAAAAACAAAAGCTTCAGAACTTCCTGGCTTCTCCACCCACCAAATCCACAAGTTCTGCTGAGTATTTGGATGTTCTACTGCATTGACTAGCTAGGAGCAGAAGGATGTGAGCAGACTCCAGGGAAACCATTCCTGGTGGTGGAAGGTGATGAAGGTGCAGTGAACCTCTCTGTGGATTGGCCATGGAGATTAATGACTGAGTGACTGATTGGATAGGACCTGGACAGCAGAGACTAATGACCAGACTTCCTCTTGATGACTCAGTTCTACAAAGATGCTATAGCTGGGCAGGCTTACTCATTTTGTGGTGTTGGGAATTTTGAGATTTTTACTGAATGTAAATGTTGGTTTCTTTCAAATGTACCAAAACTTCCTTTTGGTACATTGCTGGCCATCTCATTATAAGCAGAGACTAGTATCATATACTGGACCATATTGAACTTTCCGGTGAGTCTCTAATGGATCTTGAGCCAGTAGCCATGTAATATTCTTTGTACTGGACAACCGAGTCTCACAGGTTTCCTGGCCTATCCATGAGAATCAAAACTGCTTGACCACTCATTATCAGGGATAATGCCATTTTATGCTCTCTGAAAGTGTATATTAAGATCTCCCTATGCCCCAGAGCTGACATATTGGACATGGCAGATGGAATGAGTTGTAAAATAAGTTTAGATAATCCTAGTATATTAGGATTTCTGTGTGACTGCTGGATGAGACCAAAATAATTGTAGACTAAAGCAAGAAGGATTTCTTTTTCATGTATATCAGTCCAAAGACAAAAGATTTGTGTCCATTAGGGTGGATTGTATACCTTCTATTTCATTCCTCTGCTTTTCCTGTGGGGTTGCATTTATCTGCATGGGCTGCAGATGGTTCATCGAGCCCATGTTCCAGACTTCAAGGAGGTAAAAAAGAGAAAGGAGAGGGCCATAGAGAGAAGTTGCACGCTCACATACACTTACATCCCATTGTCCAGAGACTGTCATATGATCACATCTAGCTGCAAGAGTGCTGGGAAATGGTATCTTTTCCAGGAAAACAATGTAACCAGCTGAAACCTCCATTCTTAAAAAGGAGAAAATAAATGTAAGAGGAGAACCTAGCAATTGTGTTGTAACTAGCATTAATGCCTCTATTAAATTTCTCTTCCATCTCAGTCTTTGACACAATTAGGCTGGTTCTTAATTGCTACCACTTCAACTGATCCCTTAAAAAATTTTTTTCTTAATCATCTACTTATTGTTCTACTTGTATGTTACCACTTCACAGAGCTTATAGTCTAATAGAAGAGATAGACAATAAATAAGTAAAAGAACAAAATAAACAATTAGACTTATAGATAAGTCTTATGCAGGAAACAGACTTGTGACAAAGAATAAAGAGAGGGCAAGGTCCCTTTTTTGATTGGGTGTCAAGAAAACCTCAGAAGAGTTGAGATTTGAACAGAAACTTGGGGAAGTAAAGGAGATGACCCTGTGGTGTAGCAGCTTATCAACCAAGGCAGACTTCATTTAAATAGGCCTCAAATGGGAGATTTGGTGCTGTGGAGGAATGACAGGCAGCCAGTGTGATTGCATACTGTGAGTATGAGGGAAGGGCAATATGGGATAGCAGGATGGGGAGGAGCTGGACCCTGCAGGTCTTTATAACAGTGGGGAGTCACAGGAGGGTTTTAAACAGCAAGTAGCATGATTTTGTTTATGTAAGATCTTTCTCATTGCTGAGTAGAGAACTGATTGGAAGACAGCAAAAATAGAAGCCACAAGATGAGAAATTTTTATATGTAAGAGATGATGACTTCTTTGACCAGAGTGGTAGCACTGGAGATAGAAAAATAGGTAGATGAATTTATGAATTATCTGAAGAATTTCGTTTAAGAGTGACTTGAAACCAATTTTCTACTCATGAGTTCCAGAGTATAAACATGTTTTTAAACCCTGTTTCCCCACTTGGGTGACCAAGAGGTTGACTGAGGTTGGCATTCTGCAGTGTCATGCACATAATTGGACTTTAGACTGGGAGTGGAAAAGGAGGACAGGCAAAGTTTAACTCACAGAAAAGAAAATAAAAGCACATGTATTCTCTTGGTTCTGATTAAAGCCTTACAAGCTGGGTAAATTTGTTTTTACCCTCTCTCTTATGGAAACTAAAAGTAAAAAGATATTCAGAACTTGCTTCTCAGACTAAACACTAATAGTATTTTTTTTTTTTTTTTTTTGGTTTGGGGGAATGGAACCCAAGGCCTCAAGCATGCTAGACAAGCAATATGTCACTGACCTACATCCCCAGCCTGACAGCATAATAAAATGAACAAAACTGTTATCTCTCTTTTTAAAATTTTTTTATGTTTTATTCTAATTTGTTATATATGACAGCAGAATTATTACAATTCATATTATTCATATACAGCACAATTTTTCATATCTCTGGTTGTACACAAAGTATATTCACACCATTTGTGTCTTTAGACATGTACTTATGGTAATGATATCCATCTCATTCCACTGTCTTTCTTACCTCCATGCCCCCTCCCTTCCCCTTCCACCCCTTTGCCCTATCTAGAGTTCATCTATTCCTCCCATGCCCCCCCTCCCAACCCCACTATAAATCATCACTATATCAGAGAAAATATTTAGCATTTGGTTTCTTGGGATTAGCTAACTTCACTTAGAATTATATTCTCCAACTCCATGCATTTACCTGCAAATGCCATGATTTCATTCTCTTTTATTGCTGAGTAATATTCCATTGTATAAATATATACTACATTTTCCTTATCCATTCATTTTCTGATGGGCATATAGGTTGGTTCCACAGCTACTGTGAATTGTGCTCCTATAAACATTGATGTGGCTGTGTCTCTATAGTATGCTGATTTTAAATCCTTTGGGTATACACTGGGGAGTGGGATAGCTGGGACAAAAGATGGTTCCATTCCCAGTTTTCCAAGAAATCTCCATATTGCTTTCCATATTGGCTGCACCAATTTGCAGTCCCACCAGTAATGTATGAGTGTGCCTTTTCCCCCCACATCCTCACCAATACTTATTGTTGTTTATCTTTTTTTTTAAAAAAAAAAGAGAGAAATTTTTAATATTTATTTTATTTTATTTTTTAGCTTTCGGTGGACACAACATCTTTATTTTATTTTTATGTGGTGCTGGTGATATGAGAATGGAAACCCCTGCTTGTTTCTGCAGTTTATGTGAGTGGTATGAATTTTCCCAGCCTTTCACCTTCAGTTTGTGGATGTCTTTTCCTATGAGATGAGTCTCTTGGAGGCAGCATATTGTTGGGTCATTTTTTTTTTTTTTAAATCCAATCTGCCAGTCTACGTCTTTTGATTGGTGAGTTCAGGCCATAACATTCAGGATTATTATTGAGACATGATTTGTATTCCCAGCCATTTTAGTTTATTTTTGGTATTTAACTTGACTTGGTTTCCCCTTCAATTAGTTTTTCCTTTAGTGCAATACCTCCCTTTGCTGATTTTCATTGTTTTTCAATTCCTCTTCATGGAATATTTTGCCGAGGATGTTCTGTAGTTGCAAGTTGTAAATTCTTTTAATTTTTGTTTATCATGGAAAGTTTTTATTTCATCATCAAATCTAATGCTTAATTTTGCTGGATATAAGATTCTTGGTTGGGATCCATTTTCTTTCAGAGCTTGATATATGTTGTTCCACAATCCTCTAGCTTTTAGGGTCTGGGTTGAAAAATCTGCACATAATCTAATTGGTTTCTCCCTATATGTAATCTGATTTCTTTCTTTTGTGGCTTTTAGTATTCTCTCCTTATTCTGTATGTTAGGCATTTTGGTGTGGATCTGTTTAATTTTGTACATTTGATGTCCTGTAAGCCTCCTGAAGTTGGTTTTCCAATTCATTCTTCCTGTTTGGAAAATTTTCTGATATTATTTCGTTGAATAGATTGCTCATTCCTTTGGTTTGGAACTCTATGTCTTCCTCTATCCCAATAACTCTTATTAAATTTGGTCTTTTAATACTATCCCATATTTCTTGAATTGTCTGCTCATGGTTTCTTACCACTTTTACTGTGTGGTCTACATTCTTTTCAAAAGTATGTATTTTGTATTCATTGTCTGAGGTCCTGAGGTCCTGTCTTCCAAGTGGTCTAATCTGTTGGTGATGCTTTCAATTGAATTTTAATTTGGTTTAGTATTTCTTTCATTTCAAGGATTTCTGTTTTGTTTTGTTTTTTTAGAACCTATATCTCCCTATTGAAGTAATCTTTTGCTTCCAGTATTTGCTTATGTAGCTCTTAGTCAAAATGATCTTTTGCTGCCTGTATTTGCTGTATTATAACATCCTTTAATTCACAGAACATTTTAATTATGTACATCCTGAACTCCTTGTCTGTCATTTCTGCTGCTTCCTCTGGCCTAATAATGTGGTATCTTGATTTGTTTGGGGCACTTTCTTCCCTTGTCTTTTCATATTGCTTGTGTGTCTTCCCTTCTAGCACTGTGGATCCCAGACATTACCATTTTTACCCTATAAGCTTATAGTGCCCCTGTAGGGATCAAATACCTCTCCTTTGAGGTGAAGGACAATGTTAACAGATCTCAGTATAAACAATATGCACCTCAAAAACAAATGTTTGCTATTAAGATGTTTACAGATTGGTCACAATGTACAGAAATGGTGAATTCAATTATTATCTACAATATTCTCAGTAGGTTTGTAAAAGGGTTTATAGTTTCTGATGTTGGACAAAGAACCAGGGGTGAGGAGTAGGATGATATGCCAAGGAGGCAGGAGGAGAGGATATAGAGTTATTATATCTTAGGAAGTGTGAAAGAGAAATCTAAAGAGGAAGATTAGTAGCAGAAGAAGGGAGAGGAAGTAATTTTGGGGAGACAAGTAAGTAGGAAGACAATAGAGTACATAAAACAAACATACATATATATTTAGAAAAATAAAAAATGTTAAAATAGTAGGAATTGGTGGGAAAAAGAAAAAAGGATAAAGAAAAAAATATATAACACAACTGTAATATACTATTCAGATGTCCCAGTCCTCAAAATCATAATTCATGCAAAGTACTTGGTTTCACATGTGTTGGGAATGTGAGAATGGAAGAATAGAGAGGAAGAGGGAAAAAAAAATCTTGAAGGAAGAAACAGGGATTGTTTCAGTTGGAGATCAGTATCTTTCCTGCTCCCTTCTCATCTAATAGGTGGGTTCATCTGTTGTTAGCTGGTGTGTCCACCCTCAGGATGGTAAAGGTAACCAGGGTATCACTGTGTTGGGGTAGTGGCTGCTGGGGAGAGGGGGGGAGTTAAAAACTGGGTACCCCAGATGGATTTCCAAACTGGGAGTTGCCCCCACTGAAAATGGTGATGAAGGTGGCCCAAGATTGAGGTGCCTGCTTTCAGTGATGGGATGTTGGGTTAGGTGGGAGGAGCCAGGATGATTTCAGAGAGGAGCACTGTGGTGCAGAGCATGTGGCTGTCAGCTGACTTCAGAGCCTGTGTGAGGTTCTTGGACCCAGGCAGGCTAAGGCACGTAGGGTACTGTCTCTGCTGCTGTAGAATCCTAAGATGTCGGTGACTGGGGGAGCCCCACATGGGCAGATGGGGCTCCACATGGGAGTAGCGGCCAGAGTTCCCGCGCCTGGGAAACTGCCAGGTGTCCTTTGTGGGAGCAGTGTTCATGCTTTCTGCTCGGGTGGGTGGCCAAAAGTTCTGCATGGGTGCTGATGCTGATGGTCCTGCCCTGGTATCTGGTTGTCCTGCATGGTTGAGTAGTTGGGAGACCTGCTCTGACACTGAGGCCTAGAGCCCTGGACTGGCATGGTGACCATGATTCCTGCGAGGGAGCAGGAGCATCACTCGCAGAGAAGCAGTATTCTCACTACTTGAGTCCCAGGTCACAGAGTGACACAGACTGCTGCCTTCCTCTTACCCACCATCTTGGTTTTCAACTGTTATCTCCTAACAGTTGTTGATGTCATATTTCCAAGGAGGCATTTTCCCTTCTCTGCCCTGTTAACAAGTACATACTACTGACTTTTGGCTACGTGTCCAGCCCTATGGTCGTCTCTCTGATGGTGAAAAAGAATTGTGAGACAGTGTCTGATCTCTAGAAGTTTATAATCTATGTTGGATGATAAATGAAGGTTCATGTTGCCATCTATAATCAATAAAATGAAAGGAATGCTGCATAATGAAGGATTAAAAGTATGACACAGGTGAGAAGTGCTACTGAAATATAGAGCAGAAAGAGGCAAAAGAAGGAATGAAAATTGACAGTTAAGAAGAATCAGTCACATTCTAGGAATCTGACTTGACCTCTCATTGAATTCCCACCACACTCCTTCAACAAGGCTGGAACTGGAGGGAGAGACATGGGCTGGGTAGTAATGGAGAGGGACTGAGTAAGTCTGTGTTGAGCAAGCCTTGAAAGAGGTGGAGAAGAAGAGAGAAGTGAAGAACGAACATAAGGAGACATGTTTAGCTGTCATGTTGAAGGGAAGGGGAATTGCTACTGAATTCAAATGGGCATGAATATGGAGAGTCTCGAACACCAGGGAGAGCTTTTAGTTAGAAGTGGCAAGATAGTGATGGCTGCTACTGGATAGTAGTGATGGCTACTGGTGTTCTGTTGATCCCCATTTAAAACAGTAAAGGAAGAATTCTGAAGTGGAAGAAGGAAAAAACAGCTTGGAAGAAGCAGTGGCGGGCCTCATTTTAGTATATGGTGGGGACAGAAATCCAAATGAACAGATTAATTAACAAAGAGATTTTCTAGGAATGATTGGCAGGACTCAGAAACGGCTTAGTATTGGGGATACAGGAATATATCCTTAACATAGGAAATGGGTTAATCAAAGTAAATTCTATAAATTTAAGTTTAAAAGTTCAGGTAAATGTTGGCAGGTGGTATGGCATAGTGAAAAGAACATGAGCTTTGAAATCAGCAAACCTGGGTGTGAGTCCCAACCCTACCACTTACTTCCATGTAACCTTGGGCAGAGTCCTCTGCATGGGTACACTGATACATAGTATCTACTTCATTGATCTATGTGAAGATTAAATAACATGATTACTGTAAAGCACTTAGAACAGCTCCTGTCACAGAGAATTACAGAAAACTGTAAGGTCAGAAACCCTTCAACACAAAAAATCCTTTGGACCTCCAAATATTTTTGTCAGTAAGCAAGCAGAGAAGACCACTTACCACCCAACTAAGGCCCAGTTTTCTGACACTCCTAATTGTGTGTGTGTGTGTGTGTGTGTGTAATAATGTGTATTGTTTTAAGCCTCTAAGTTTGGAGTAATTTGTTCCACAGCAACAGTTAACCATATACATTTTACTGAAACATGTCTGATCTCATTAAGCCTCACAGCAAACTGGATAAAAAGTACCCACAAATTTGAGAAAAGACAGTTTGTTCTTTAGCTATGGTGCCATACCAAGTAGATACCAGTACTAGTTTTAAACCTGTGCAATCAATAATGACCTAAGTGAACATGCTTTTGAAAGCTAGCTTGTCAATGCCAGCTCCTTTTAACTGAAAGTCACCTGATGTTCTTTTAGAAATGATGACTTGATTGATGGATTGATTTCCAAAGGCATCTTCATGGAGTACTATGGTCTGAATGTTTGTTTCCTCCCAAAATCCATTTGCTAAAATCCTAACCCCCACCATGATGGCATTAGAAAATGGGATCAAATCTTTGGGAGAATATTAATTGATGGTTACTTATAAAAGAGGCCCAAGGACAATTACACAGCCTTTTCCACCATGGAAGGACACTGTGAGAAGAAAACATTTGTGAACCAGAAAATGAGCCCTCATAGACACCTAACCTGCTGCTACCCATATCTGGGACTTACTAGCTTCCAGAACTGTGAGAAGTAAATTTCTGTGTTTCTTAAGTTTCCTAGTCTAAAGGTTATAAGTAGCCCATGCTGTTATAGCAGCCTCTATAAGACTGAGAGAATTTGTTGATCCACTGATCAGGTTTAAACTGGTTCAAATGACTGCATTTTACCATGGTTACAAAATAGCTCAGCCTTTCCTCATGTGTGGGAAATTTTTGTATTCTCAAAAGATCATGTTCTGATTGAAGGGAGATTGGGAACCATGTTTCCAGGTGAATGGGGGATAGTGTCTGTTTGGTGAACTGACACTGGCCAAGCTTACTTGTTTAAAAAGAGCTGTGTCTGAAGCAAAGAATGGTGCCCTATAGAGAATTACCAGGAGTTTATCACTTCATATTTCATCATTTTTATCAAATTTTCTTTTGGTGTTTCTGGGGATCGAAACCAGGGTCTCACACACACAAGGGAACCATTCTATCACCAAAGCCCTTTTGAAATTTTTCATTTTGATACAAGGTCTCTTTGAGTTGTCCAAGATGGTTTCCAACTTGTAATCTTCCTGCCTCAGCCTCCCAAGTAGCTGAGATTACAGGCATGTACCACTATGCCCCATCCAAATGTCTGAATAGCATCTTCAAAAGTCATCTTTCTCCTTTCCTTTAGATAGGACTGCCCCCCACCATAATTTGACAAGATGGTTATATTTGTTTATACACTGCCTAGAGTCTCAAAATCTTCTCTTAGCTTTTATTTTTCTGTATTTTTTTCCATCCTTGGACTCAGGAAGTTCTTTCTGTATCTAACATTGTCCTTTCCTATTATGACTATCCAAGTCAGGAGAACCCTGCACATTTTCCTGTGTATAAAGCTCATCTACAATGGTTGTCATCTCTGGGCATGTGTTTACTTTGCCCCACATCTCCCAAGAGAACAAGAAATATGAGATTTGCAATTTGCCTACTCACCACACTGTTTGGAATTATTACCTCCCTCTCTGAACATCTTGGCACATCTTAAAAGAAGGGATGGGATACAGAAAGAAGACAAACTTTGTCCCAGCTCTGCAGCTCTTGAATCTGCTTGAGTTCTCACTTCCAAACCCTAGTTTCACCCAGCACACAAGGACCAGGGAAGGAAACTACAGAGCAAAGCAGAAGCTCTAAGTCATGAAAACACTGTGGATCAGAGGATAGGCCCTGAGGCTGTGATAGCTGTACTCTTAAGGTAGGTATAAAGTGGCTTGGTCAGAGGTAACTCCTATTATAGGATCACCATGATTCAGCTTTCCTTCAATTTTCCTAGAAGACTTGAACTAGGGAAAGCATTTTTGTATTATACATAGATATTTACAGAGTAGAATTTAAAGTTGATATGAGTTTTTAAAGAAGGAAACTTGAAAATCTTAACCTTGGAGAAGACCACGTCCTCCCAGCCTCCATATCCCTTCTCTTTTTTTTTTTTAATATTTATTTTTTAGTTTTCGGCAGACACAACATCTTTGTTTGTATGTGGTGCCGAGGATTGAACCCGGGCCGCATGCATGCCAGGTGAGCGCGCTACTGCTTGAGTCACATCCCCAGCCCCTCCATATCCCTTCTCAGTAGATGTTCATTTTTCTGTATTGAGACTACTTTGGTGATGAGCCTTGGCTGAGATTATTAATGCTCCAACGTACTCAGTGCTCTCTTGACTGGGTTCGTTGTCCTTTGGGGATATTTATCTTGTGCAGTCCCTCTTTCCTGACTCTCCCTGCATACACCTTTATGCTCTTAGATATCTCAACCAAAAGGAATTCCAAAACCCAACGACTTCCTGGGAGATCATCTGAATTTAAGAATCAGAGTTCCTCAGTCTTCTAAATTTTCTTTGTGTGCCTTGGCCTAAAATGTCAAACTCCAGGTAAGATTCCTTAATTTTCCTGTAGAAATTCAAAATAAGCCCAAGGATATTTTGCACACATGAACCGTACACCATGAACACAGCATCTTCCCTAAAAGATAGATTCTCTTTGCCTCTGTTTACCTGGAGAACAAAGAGAAGATGGAGTGTTGAGAGTGGAAGTGAATCTTCCCCCCTGCTATTCCCAGCATGCAGTAGGACATATTTCTGCAGTTTTCTGAGGACTTGGGCCAAGAAGAAGCCAAGAGATGGGTTTCCTTTACAGAATAGCAAGGTAGATGCAGTTGGTGATGTTGCACCGTTTTGGGGTTCATTCAGAGTTGCTCTGATTTACTTGCATGTAGTTGTAATGTGTGACTTCATAGCCAGAAATCCAGAGCACTGGTCTCAGCCATCTCAGTCTCCATCTATGGTGGGAGCATATTGATTTAAAACCCCCATCTGCCTGTATATCTTCCTCAGTGACTTCATACTCTGCACTTCTCAGTGGGACTGTGAGTTTTTTGTAATACTATACATTTATATAAATGACAATAATAATATTGTAACACAAAATTTTATTTACTATCTATTCTTATAAGAATATTTTCTCTGGGCTCCCAAAATAATTATAAGAAATAAAGAGAGGGGAAGGCTTTTGCCAAGTTGGGGATGATTTCCCAAGGCCTTCTCTATGCTATCCGATTTGCTCCTTCTTGATGGCTTTGCTTTCCTGTCTTTCAGGTGACAGACATCCTTGGGACAACTTTGCATAGTCCTCTCCAGAAAGAAGCTCTGTGATGTGTGGATTGTGAGCTTGCTCAAGCAAGTCACGCTCTTTATAAGGTACAACTAAACATAAGGACTGGTATGGAAGAGCCGGCACCACTGGAAGGCCCGGACCAACTCCCAAGCCCCCACCAGGGCTCTCTGAGGAGGGCTGTGGCTGCTGCTCTGGCCCTAGATGGGGAATCTACAATGGGTCGCAGGAAAAAGAAGAGGAAAGAATCCCGCCCAGAATCTATCATCATCTACCGGTCAGATAATGAGAAAATGGATGATGAGCCTGAAGATTCAGAAGGTGGAGATCGGCCTAAAGAGGAAGAGGGAGATGATTTCCTAGACTATCCCGTAGATGATGGTGAGTCTCTCTGGGACCCCTTGTTGAAAGCCATGGGAAGGGAACCAAAGAGGGGGACCTCATCTGTCTATATTTCTTCTTGGTGGTACATTTCTCCCGGGGTTGCAGTCTCATTCAGCAATTGATAGTACTACTTAGAACCTATAATTTTCTATTCTAGGTGGGATGGAGGAGATCTTACACGCTCTGAACTCCTAGTATAGTGGAAAAAGCTGATTTGTGTGCAAAATTCAATAACACAAGCAGACCATGATAATTATTTAATGTATGTATAATAAAGTCAACAAATTATTGATTTTCACGATAATCAGGAAAAAGGAAATTATTACATCAGTGAGATAAAATATTCCTTCATTTGTAGGATTGCCAAAAATGTGTTTAAGTATAATAATATCAATGTGAGGAAATTACATTTTAAGTAAAAGTGGAAACTTCCCACTTCGTAGTGAATTTGTTGATATTTATTAAAATTCAAAAAATATATATATACCCTATGTCCCAGGAATCCACAGTATATCTTTTTTCTTATTTTAATTTTTTGTAGTTGTAGATGGACAGAATGCCTTTATTTTATTTGTTAATTCTTTTATATGGTGCTGAGGATCAAACCCAGTGCCTCACTCAGCATGCTAGGCAAGCACTCTGCCACTGAGCTGCAGCCCCAGCACTCACAATACCCATGTTCTGCATATGTAAAAAAGCATGTATAAGAATATTTGCTGCTCCTAATGAAACTGTGGAGTGTCTGTATTAAGAATAACTGGGCAGCACTGGAAGGATGAGATAGATCTGTTTGTGTAGAGGGATAGATATCCAGGACGCACACTTACAGAATAAGTCAAAGCAGTAGCCTGGCTCTCACGGAGTTGACCTTCTAGCTAGGAGAAGGCAAACAATGAATAAGTCAACCAATAAAAGATAATTTCAGGTAGTGGTATGCGTTGCAAAGACAGTAAAACCATGATAGAAAGAAGAGTCCTGTTTCAGGGTGATAAGGCAAGAGATTGTGTGGTCATGGAAGGTCTCTCTGAAGAAGTGACATTTTGAGCAAATTCAAAATGACATGAAAGAGCCAGTTGAGAAAAGACATGGGGCAGAGCTTTTGAAGGAGAGAGAACAGCAAGGGCAAAGGCCTTGAGGGCAACCCTGGCCCATTTACAGAATGGAGTGGTTTCTGTTTAGGAGTGTAGAGGACAAGGGGAAGGATGTTGAAAAGATGTCAGAAAGTGGGGCAGGGGTCAGATACGTCACCGTTGCAGGTCTTGCAGGTCTACAGAAAAGGGTTTGGAAGTTGTTATAAGTGCAAGGGAAAGTGAATGGAGGACTTTTAAACAAGGGACACACATTATCTCATTCATAGTTTAAGATCACCCTGGCTTGTCTATAAGGACTGGATTGCAAAGAGTAGGAATGGAAACTGATGGGAGAATTTTAGACATTGCAAACACAATAATGCTAATGCAGAAGCTTGAAGTACAGTGATAGGAGAGAGAGTGCCAGAGAGGAAGAGGTATTAGATTCAGAATATAATGTGGTATGTGCTGACAGATTGGAGGCAGGACATAAGGGAAAAGGGAGGATTAGCAATGACTCCTAGGTGTTTGAAAAGAACAATGGAATGATGGTTTTATTTGCCAAGATAAAGGAGACTGTGAAACCATTAGGTTTGGGGGAACAGTACATCCCTTCTAGGTCAATCATAGCCCTTGCTACTCCTGAGTCCTGCTCTTAGGTGGCTTTCTTCTATCTCTTTCCCACCCATGGGGTAAAGTCTTCTAGTCAAAGGGCCCAGGGAACACATCTATCTAAGCCTATAGTCCTCAATCCTCCCCCACATTTTTAGACTACCTTTTACATACCAAAGGCCACAGACTTCCCTTCTCAGTATCTCTCATCCCTTTTCAAGGGTGGTCAAAGGACAGCTATTTTGTGATTGCCTGTGTGTGTATGTGTGTATGTGTGTGTGCATGTGTACTATATGAATGGAGGGTGTGGATGTTTGGGGGTGCCGGGTTTCTGTTCTTGTGACTAAAAGGCTCAGGGGTCACTCCAGGTAAACTGGGCTAACTGGGCTGTGCAAAATAACCACACGAGTCACAAATACCTTTTTTCTTTGGGGTCGCTGTGACGGCTCCTCTGACCTTAAGGGTCCGCAGGAAGAGGGAGAGAAAGCACGCGCTGACCCCTTTTATTGAGGAGAAGCTATTCAAATGAGGCAAGGGGTCAGGTGTCAGGGGACTGAGTCTATCTTCATGATGTCCACTGTCAGCAGGTTGACTGACATCTAGGTAGGCCACACCCAAGGGCACAGTAAGAGAAGGGGACACACACAAGACACTTCCATGGAAGATTCTACCCTAAAGGAACAGGTGAGCATAGATAGCTCCACCCATAGGGCTGTAGGAAGCCACACCCGAGCACAGTCACTCAAACCCTAGAAGAGTGGGGCAGTCTAGCAGCATGGGTGCCTGACTGCCACATCACCCAGCAGGGGAGTTAACTCAGTCACTTGCAAGGTTGGTCTCCCACATGGGGGGTATATATGTGGTGTGGTGTGCATGGCATATGTGTGTGGTATGTGGGTGTATAAGTGGGGAGAGTGTATGTGTGTGCATATCGTGGGTATGTGTGGTAAAGTGGAGGGTATGGTATCTATATGTTGTGTGATGTGGGGTTTGGAGGTACTTACAGGACTGGGGTGGGGTGTCTGGTGGGTGTGAGTGGTGTGGTGTGGGGGAGTGGGTAAGTATGTGAATAGAGCTTAAATATGAAGGCTGGGATGCCCACAGGCATATGAAAAGGTCCCCTCTCAGGGAAGTGTAAAGTTAGGCATGAGAAAGGAAGGGTCATGGGCTATGTATAAGCTGATTGCAATGATCTTTACACACCCAGAGTGATACTCATAAATGATATTTTAACAGAACTTCTTAACTTGAAATAGGATCATTAAAGTGTTATCTGTAGTAAAGTTCCTCACTCTACTCTATGTCACAAAAGTCATGTCAACACTGAGGTCCAGAGAAATGGAGGGAGAACTATCTCACATTTTATCAGGGCTCAGAAATGGAGAGAAAGCTCATGCTATGGAGTGACAATAGCAGTGGTCACCCTCCAAGGGAGACTATTCAGTCTACTACTGAATCCCTGACTCTACTACTATGTCAGATGCTATAAAAAGACGTCTCGTAGTGGGCCCAGCCTCAGAGGATACACCCTGATGAAAGTCCACTCTTCAGATCTTGACGCTCACCTCCTTTGTGCCCTACAGGTATGTGGAACATGCCTTTCGACAGTCGCTATGTCACCTTAACAGGGACCATCACACGAGGGAAGAAGAAGGGTCAAATGGTAGACATTCATGTCACATTGACCGAGAAGGAGCTGCAGGAATTGACCAAACCCAAAGAGTCCTCAAAGGAAATGGCACCTGAAGGGAGAAAGGCATGCCAGATGGGAGCAGACCGGGGGCCTCACGTGGTCCTTTGGACTCTGGTCTGCCTGCCCGTGGTCTTTGTCCTCTCTTTTGTTGTCTCTTTCTACTATGGCACTATCACCTGGTACAACATCTTCCTTGTGTACAATGAGGAGAGGACCTTCTGGCACAAGATCTCCTGCTGCCCCTGCCTCATTCTCTTCTATCCAGTGCTCATCATGGCCATGGCCTCTTCCCTGGGCCTCTATGCTGCTGTGGTCCAGCTCTCGTGGTCCTGGGGGGCCTGGTGGCAAGCTGCCCGGGACATGGAGAAAGGCTTCTGTGGCTGGCTGTGCAGCAAGCTGGGTCTGGAAGACTGTTCTCCCTACAGCATCGTGGAGCTGCTTGAATCTGACAATATCTCAGGCAATCTCTCCAACAAGGATTCTACCCAGGATGTAGAAACTTCTACTGTCTAAACTGCCAGCAACTTCCTTCCTTCTCTGGATCCAGTAGCCTATATATCATCTTACAATTCCAGTAGATTCTTTCTTCAAATTATCCCCTGTCCCCTACAGTTGTAAAAAATCTTAGCCCACACTGATCTTCCCTACCATCTTGATGGTTCCCGGAAGGCAGACCACAGAAAAGCAACTGTGCCAAAGTAGTAGTCTACACAGTGAATCAGCTCTTCTTAATTCCTTGCCCTAAAATGACCACTTGTCTTGGATAGGGAATTCCACTGTATATCAATCCAGAAGCTTGAAGTTGTTACTGGTGCTGTAACCCAGGAGACTTTGTGACTCAATGTGACAGGGAAAATAAAGAAGCTCAGGGGTGGCCAAGTCCTCCGAGAAAATTGACAGAGATGGAGTGAAACGTTTGAAGTGCTGGGCTACTATGCATAATAGAAAGTAGTGATTTGTGTGAATCACTTAGGTTTAGATTGGACTGATTAAAATTAAAGTCCTAAAATATCGGTCATTAGTTTACTTCTTGTATAGAAGTTAGGAGGCAAACAATTCCACGATCCTGTGAAGTCATTGGTACCCCAGGTTTCTTCTTTTCCTGTACCATTAGCAGGACATGGCCCTTATTACTGTTATCCTCAATATTCCAGTGCTGACTATGTCTTTAGCCATCACATTCCATGTTTCTGGATAAACAGAAGAAGGAGTGAAGAAGAGCACACCCTTCTGTTTAAGGAGACTTCCCAGAAGAACCCCCTCTCAACATTTTTATATCTGACTGGCCAGACCTTAGTCACATGACATCATGAGCAAAAGAAGCTAGGAAATGTAGTCTTTTGTCTAGGTAGTTATATTCTTAGCTAAATATTGGTGTTATGTTAATTTGAGGAAAAAAGGGAAGAATGACTATTTTGGTAGGCAAGAAGGAATCTCCACCTTGTGATAACTATTTAAATTCAGAATCCCAAACTACTAATACAGTTTTATTTATTTATTTATTCATTTATTTATTTATTTTGGCTTGAATCTTACACAGAATTTATGCATAGAGATGAGCTATGTACACTACATATATGCTATCCATTATTCATCAGTATTAGCTTCTAGTTTGTAACTAAACTTCTGAAATGTGTGGTTTCAGGGCTTTTTTTTTTTTTAAAGCAATAGTGGATAGGATAATACAATTACATAATGGTAGCATAACTCTTCTTCCTGGTGGTGGAGGTGAAACAGGGGTTGGTGATATTTAATCAATAAAGACTGAGAAGGGAGGGATTGTGCCCCACAAACATTCCCCCAGCAGGGATCATTATCCCTAAACATGAAGAAGCCAGATTTAGCCTTCTGTGGTTTGGCAGAACCTCACTCAGAGCCTTACTCACTCAGATCTTTCTAGTTTAACAACAAACATGGTGTTTTCTATGCTAAGAAGTTTGTCTTCATGGCCTGAGGGTGTATATTAGATTAAACCAGATGAAAAAGATTCTGAATTTTAAAAAAATCAAAGGTGTCTTTTTAATTTTAAAATATCAAAGCCCAAAGAGGTCAGCAGATTTTGGAAGTTTGGATCCTTACAAGAAAAGCCGGTGCTCCTTTTTGTTTCTGTCTTGGAAAGAAGCTGTTGAAAGAACTGCTGTGACCTAAACCAGAGGTATAAGCCATGCTTTCCACAGAAAGCCAGGAACGTTTGCTTAATGTATGGTGCTGAACTCCACCTTCAGAAGAAATCTTCTTTCTTTTTATTCAACTGTCATTAGTTTGACTAGAGGGGAAAAAAAAAATGTGCCCAGCATTTTTGAAGATAATCTTGGTGCTTTCTGGTATATTTGCAGAGATATGAACAATTGAAATGCAGATAAAGAAAATAAAAAAGTGAAATGTGATTAACATTTGTTCAATTTATCTTTGAGCTCTCTGAGATAGCTTTGAATGCTACAGTTTGCAGATAAAGGGTGAGCCTGGGGCTGTCCTATATATATGTAGTGATTTCAGGATGAATCCTTTCACATTGACACAGGTGCACCATTAATTCATGGGGGGTTCTACTTAAGTGAACTGTTAACATAAGTCATGCTTTTTATCTAAGCCCACATTAAAATATTGCAACTGTATTTGTTGCATTTTTCTGTCATGTTAGTTGAGAAAATCAATGTCAAGGACACAAAAAGTCATGACATAGTGGACATTAGTGGAAAAAGTGGACATAGTAGAATGGAAGTATGGGGTGAGAGTGAGACTATGCCCGAAGGATACCTAGATGAAGCTGACAGGGCCTTTACTCTGATTGGGCTTATCACCTATTGGAAGAGATAGGCTCAGGCTCGTACACTAAAATTATTTCAAAAGGGCTCTAAAGTGGTATGTAAATACTTAGACTAGAGGAAGGAAAACTGAACCAAACAGAACTAAAGCAACAGAAGAAAACCTTGCTCTCAGTAAACACCTAGAGAACATTACAGAAGAAATTGCAGTTAGATATTACATTTGAATAATTTCTTAGCTTATAGTTGCTTAATCTTCATGGTAGATATTGAAGATGAGGAACATATTTTAAGTTGCTTAGCAGCCATAATATGCAGAGTTGGATTAACCATGTCAGACCCAGTATGGTGATCCTGATGCTTCCAAGTCATCTTGTCTGTTACCATTAGGTGGCACCCTTTCATTTCAGTTTATGTCTGAGGGGACTAAACCCTTGTTCCTATGAAATGAGATTCTATATCTTTAAAAGAACTAATTTCAGTTGCATTGAAAGTTTGATTCTGTCATTTTGGAATGGTCACGCAGACGTTGACTTTTACAGTGTTGAAAAAAATTAGCAGCTTCAGGGTTTGGTGATCACACCTGTAATCCCATTGATTTGGGAGGCTGAGGCAGGCAGATCATAAGTTCAAAGTCAGCCTCAGCAATTTAGCAAGGCCCTAAGCAACTCATTGAGACCCTGTGTTTTAGTAAGTTTTCCCCCACTGTAGCTAAAAGACCTGACTGGAACAATTTTAGAGTAGGAAAAATTTATTTGAGGACTCATGGTTTCAGAGATCTTAGACCATAGAAGTTTGGCTCCATTCCTCAGGCTCAAGGTGAGGCAGAGGGAAGCAGTTCATATCATCCTTATCAGGAAGCAGAGAGAGACTCTACTTACCAGACACAAATAAATACCCCAAAGCCACACCCCAATTCCACCTCCTCCAGCCACACCCTACCTCTTCAGTTACTACTCAGTTAATCCCTATCAGGGAATTAAATTACTGATTGGGTTAAGGCTCTTACAACCAATCATTTCTCCTCCAAACCTTCTTTCATTGTCTCTCACACATGAGTTTTGGGGGACATCACATCTAAACTATAACACCCTGTCTCAAAATGAAAGATGAGAATGTCTGGGGGTGTGGCTTAGTGGTTAAGTACCCCTGTATTCAATCCTCAGATATCAAAAAACAAAACAAAACAAGATTAGTGGCCAATACCAAAAGGTTTCTTTTTCTTGCCTTGATTAATCTAATTACTAACATGAACCTTTTTATGTGAATTTTGAATGGAATCTGATGGACGTGGTACAACATGGAATCATTACTATTCACATTTATTTTGGATATAAAATTTTATTTCATATCTATAACCTGTTAAGATTTTAACTAATTTTCCCAATTGTCTATATAATCATAATCACAGCTCTCTGTCAAAGCACAAAGGCTGCACATATTTGCTTTTTTTCTTTAAAAAAAAATGTTTTAGTTGTAGGTGGACACAGTACCTTTATTTATTTATCTTTATATGGTGCTGAGGATCAAACCCAGTGCGTCACCCATGGTAGGTGAGTGCTCTACCACTAAGCCACAACTCTAGCCCTATATTTGCTTTTTATAATGCTCATGAAGTCATCATTCACATAGTTCACTTGCAGAGCGATGTCAAATTCAAAAATATTCCAGTAACTTAAATAGAAATTTCAAAATAAATAAAACATTTAACTACCCTGAAGGGCACACATAGTCCAAAATCCAGCAATATTTTTTAAAAGATTTCTATTTTTTCAGTTATTTATTACTATTGTTAACACTTAAAATATAGTAGATTAAAATAACAACCATTTGCTCAAAATTCTGCAATTTGGACAGAGTTCAGTGGAGATGACTAGTCTCTGCTCAACATTTCTAATTCTGGGATTGTTCCCTAGGGGCTCAAGTTTTACACCCCAGGTAGCCACATTGGCATGCCAGGTAGATGCTGGATGCCATCAAAATGTAACCCTGAGGCTATTGGTGCTTGGTGCTTGAGTTAGTCTGCTTTGGCTGCCATAAATTAACATAGACAAGGTGTACACAAATGTGTTTTCTCACAGTTCTAGAGGCTAGAAGTCCAAGATCATGTGCCAGCATGGTTAGTTTCTAGTGAGGGGTGTCTTTTTGGGTTGCAGGGGGCTGCCTTTTCACTACGTGCTCATATGACCTTTACTTTGAGTGAACGCATCCAATGGGGAGGGAGAGATTGGGGAGGGGGGACGGAGAATAAGCTCTCTAGTGTCTTTTTTAGAATTTTTTTTTTTAGTTGTAGATGGACACAATACCTTTATTTTATTTGTTTTTATTTTTATGTGGTGCCGGGGATCGAACCCAGTGCCTCGCGCAGGCTAGGCACTGAGCCCCAACTCCAGCCCCTAGTGTAGTGTCTTATAAGGGCATTAATACCATGATGAGGGCCCCATTCTTATAACTTCATCTAGATCATCTCCCAAAGGCCCCAACTCCAAATATTACCATATTAGGGGGTAGGACTTCAATAAAATAATTTTGAGGAGACATAAACATTTTATTCATAACAAGTCTCCTCCATGTGTCTGTTGGGCTTTCACGGTTTGGTAGTCAGTCTTCATATGTGATGTCTGGCTTCATCAACATGCAAAAGCCAAATCCGCCAAGTATTCTGAAATCTTTGACCCAGAATTGGACCACTGTCACTCCTGCCACACTTTACTGGACATGAGGCCAGTACACATTCAAGAATAAGTGACTAGTTTGGGGTGTGAAGGCTGGAAGGCACGGTTCCTGAGGGCTACCAAAATAAGACCCTGTCATCCCCCTTTCCTGTTGTATCCATTTTCTTCAATATGCCACAGTGGCTCCCATACGTCTCTCTCTTCTCAACATCCATAATACATATATCATTATCGGTACTAGCCCATCAATCTGTTACCTACCTCTTTACACCCGACTCTATATCATAAAAATCCAAAAGAATTTTGTACTGGCAGGTACAAATGAAATTTTTAAAAAGCCATAATCCCCTTGTTTTGTGACACATTAATATTTGCCCTCTCACTCTTGATTAATGAAGGCTTTTTGCCAGGGTAAGCAATGCTTAAAATCCATATCCATTCTCAGCACCACGGCTGCCCATAAAGATGGCTGAGATGCAAACAAGCACAGCTACTAGAACCTCTCATTTTTCCCAGGAACTAGACCTGTACTGGAGTGTGTGGGTGGTGGGGAAAAGAGAGGAGGAGAAAGAGGGGGAAAAGAGAGGAGAGAGAAGAAAAGGAAAAAGAGACTATATACAAGATGAAATTATAAACATAAAGTAAGCACATTTCCTTCACTGTGATGAGTGTCCAATAATTATATTTACCAACCACAGTAAAACTACTATTAAAAATAATATTTTGGCTTTGAAAGAACTTTTAAAATTTAAATCAAAAGCAAGAAGAACCTCCTGGGCTGTATAAGTGTGGTCTGAGAGTGTCTGGATCTCTTGGCTCCAATATATTCTTAACTTTGTCTCCCTCAAGGACCAGGGTTCCCTCTTCATGAATTCTGCCTGTCTTTTCAGCTCTAATCCCTGCTTTTTCTAGGCCCAGCTTTCAAGAGGGAAAGAATCCTAATAGACTCATTTTGCTAGATTGGGCAGAGGTGTGGAGACACTTTGCAAATTGCTGGACCCTTTGTCCGGTCACCTGTAGCTTGTGGTATAAAAACACCCTATTTCTGTAGAAGGCTCCTCAGAGGGGCATGGGTTGAGGGGTTACAGAATTTCCTTGAAAGGGTTGGTGAGCATATCAAGCAGTGAAATTGATGGCTGCCATTTTTGTAATATCTCCCTAGACTCACTTTTAAATTAAATTTCCCCTCCTCCTTTCCAAGCCATAGCCATACACTGTTTCATGCCTCCAGGTGTTTACAATCCCATTTTCTCTGCAAAGTACAATGTCCTTTCTACTTTTGGGGGGGAGGAGAGGGGTACAGGGGATTGAACTCAGGCCACTCAACCACTGAGCCACATCCCCAGCTCTACTTTGCATTGTATTTTATTTTATTTAGGGAGAGTCTCTCCTTTGCTGAGGCTGGCTTTGAACTCATGATCCTCCTGCCTCAGCTTGCCGAGCCGCTGGGATTACAGGCATAACCCACTGCGTCGGGCTCCTTTTCACTTTTGTTTGCCTGGAAAACTCCTATTCTTCTTTTAGGAGTTGGTTCTAAGGTCATCGGACCTGTAAAGTTTTTCATTAGCATCCCTTTTAGAAGAAGAAACTAGACTTTTAGAAGGGCTGAAAGTGACTTTCTGGTGTCATACTTAATGGAATCTAACTCCAAAGGGCGGACACAAAACGCTGCAGGGTGTATCTTGTTAATGAGAGCAAAGGGACGTGAATCTTTTGGAAAATTCTGTAAGTACTAACCCAGAACTAGCATTTTTAAGAACTCAAGGACCACACACTCCTCGCAGGGAGAAATGGAAGGAATCTGCGCCTGCTCAGAGTCAGGAACACGGTTTCCCCGCCCCTTGCGGTCACAGCCGGAAGCGGCTCGCAGGTTGGAGGCTTGCCATCCGGCCGGAACTGAGTCGCAGTGCTGCAGGTTCCCACCCGGAGAGGTGTCCGACGCTCTCGCAGACCGGCAACATGGCGTGGTCCGGAAATAAGGTAGCGGGAACCTTGGGCTGAGGCCCTCGTCTTTCTAGGCAGCTGGCGGGGATGAGGGAAGACCATGGTGATGGGCTGGAGCAGGACAGCCGGACCGAGGGAAGCCCGAGGAGGAAAGCTGAGGATTTGGAGTTCTGAATTTGAGTCTCGCTCCCTCGTCACCCCCTCCCCTTTCCCTCCTCTCCCACCCACTTCTCATCCTGCTTTCCTCCCACCCCTTCCCTGAATCCCACTCCAGCTCCTACCCTACCTCCTCTTTGTTGCTGCTGAGCCTGAGTTCTTAAAGTCTTTATAAAAATGGAAGTTAGCCAGGATAAGCACCTGTCCCACAGACCTGTAAAACTGCAAAGAGGGTTTTTGTGAGTAAAATAACTTGAAATGTAGTGTTGTATAATTACCTCCATAATAGTGTAATATCTAGAGTTTATTGAAAGCTTACTCATTGTGATGTACCTTTTATTCTTGTCTCATTTAATTTTCACAACAACCTCGTGATGTGAAAACTGTTATTCCCCCGTTTGCAAGTGGGAAAATGGCGAAGAAATAAAGTAATTATTCCATTATCATTCTATCCATAAGTGGTGGAATTCAGTTTTGAAACCAGGCTTTTTTTCAGAGTCCTGGAGAGTCTTGTGTTTCTAGTAATCTATGATCCTTGGTGTCCTGGATTAAGAACAGAAATTACAATTGATTCTAAAGTGATTTTGGGGTCACTAGAGGGAGGTGTGATTCCAGGGATTCATCCATCCATCCATCCATCCATCCATGCATACATTTAATACAGATAAATGAGATAGGAGTTTGAATAACTCTCTAGACCCCTCAACTTCCTGCTGGGAAATGTTGATCAAACAATTATGAAGGTGTTTACCTCTCTTATTCTTCTTTCAGCTGCTGAAAACTTCTTACCTCCAGTGGAGGAGCTGTTTGTGGCAGATGAACTTGGAGTAAAATCCTAACAGCCTGTATTGCTGCAGTGTAGAAATGAAGAGTTGCTATGTTGCTCCATTTCTCTTTCCTGGTTTTTTTTTTTTTTTTAACTGCTTCCAGAAGGGAACTCAAAATACCATGTAGACCATTCTTCCAGTCAAATTCCATAATAGGAAACTGTGATGCTATTTTCTGGATATCTGATTCCTGGCAAAAGACCTTTAGTCCTTTAAGTGTTTTATAGTTTAAAGGTAGCTTTTGTGAACATGTGTTAAATAAATGCAGCAGCATATTTTGTGACTTTTAAGTGTCTTTAGATTTTTAGGCTTAGGGCATTAAAACTATGGGTTGTAAATTTTATTGCTCTCAGAGAAATTCTGTAGTTCATTACTACCTACCCCCCAAATAAATTATCTTTACTCCAGAAGTTTCTTAATATTAGTGCATTATGTTCAATTCTATATAAATTAGGGGAAAATAGTTTTTAAATTTAATTTTAAATTGTTGCCAAAGGTGTAACCAAATTTAGAAATCATCTGTAACTTCTGGTAGGAGCTTATCCAGGTTTTTTAAAACACTTCTAGGGTCAGGAAATCACTGCTTCAAGAAACGGAGTTTCCTTTATTGATCACTTCTAAATTGTTATTTTTTTTTCCCTTTATAAGAAGTCAAATCAATCTCTCTAACTTCCATCTGTTGAGTCTACTATCTGTCCCACAGACCAATTATTTTATAACACAGCTGCCAAATATTTAGGAGGAAATTCTCATGTTCCCCTTAATCTTCTCATCTGACTCAAATATCTAGCTTTTCCCCAAATGTTCTTTATGTCACATATTCTCCAGATCCTTCCCTAACCTCATTTCATGTTCAGTTGTAATTAGTTGTCCTCTTAAGATGTGATACCCAGAATTGCTCACACTTTGATCAGTGAAAAAAGCACAGATGAGACTAGAAAGAATGTAATCTCTGGAAACAAAGTTCATCTAGTCCAATAGTTGTCCTCTCTCCTTCAATTAACAGCAAAGTTAAGTGACATTCCTAAGGATTCATAGCTCATTAGCAGTAGAGATGGACTACTTGTATTGCTTTTTTCATCACAATACTCTTCCTTTCTAGATTTCACTATGCTATTGATACAACCTAAAATATCTTGGGGATGGAGTGAAATGGGTATGGGAATGTAGTGCTAAAACTGTTTCATACCTGACTCTATAATCTACTCTGAAATTATGAGTTACTGTTAGTTCAGTTTTCCTGCAGCTTGTATTCAATTAAATTTTGGATGCCAAATCTAGAGTGTAAAACATCATATGTATCCCTTTATTTTGATTTTATTATTATTATTTTTTATTTATTTATTTTTGCAGTTCTGGGACTTGAATCCAGGGCCTTCCCTGCTAGCTAGGCAAACTCTGTACCATTGACCTTATATCCCCAGCCCATATGTATGCCTTATAATTTTTAGTTTATATTTGTTTAATCCCCTATGTATGTGATTGCTATCTAATGAGTTTTGCCTTCATGTATGTGGTTCCCTCTGTCTATAACTTCCTAGTTCTCATGACTGCTCATTCTTTTAAGACTCACCTGAGGGTCAGATTGAAGAAGTTTTTTTCTACCTCTGTTCCTCCTCTGTTCCATCCACCAGTCTTGTGTAGATATATCTTCTGTTTCTCTCTTGATGACCACTACAAACCTACAAATTTATTAATTTATTAACATGTATTTATTTGTATTTGTGCCTTCTAGTAGAATAGATTTGATATCTTAGTCTTCATTTCTGATCCCCAGTTTATAAACTGATTCAGATTGTTGGGGTGTATCATCCTAACGCATAGAATGAAGCAGTCACTTATTGTCACAAATGCTTCATGACAAATTGCCCATTCAGGAACTAACAATAAAAGCATGTATACTAATACTTGTAGTACTGCAGATCAACTGCAGTTTGTATGATATATGTTGGGATCAGCTGGGCTGGACTTAACTATAGCCTGCAGATTGATTTAGATCTTCCCACCTTGGTTTTTTTTTGGGATCAGGCCAAAGGAGTGTCAGCTGCCTGAAGCATGCCTTTCTCCTGGAAGTTACTTTCTAACTTTTAGAGAATATTAGAACTATTTAAGGATTCTCCAAAGTGAAGCTATATGTCTTACATGCATTCTCTTTATAGAACATACCCTTCCCTTTATTGTGCTTCCCCTAAATACCAGCATAGGTTCTGTGGGTGCAATAAGAAAGGAACCTCAGAATCCTTTTTTTATAAATGTTATAGTATCACATTCTTTGGGACTTTGTTTCTAGGCAGCTGTTGTGCTGTGTATGGATGTGGGCTTTGCTATGAGTAACTCCTGTCCTGGTGAAGAATCTCCTTTTGAACAAGCAAAGAAAGTGATGACCATGTTTGTCCAACGACAGGTGAGTTTCAAATTGACCTTGAGCTTGTAACCTACATTGCCTCCACCTATTAATGAAAGATACCAACCTTATAATATCTACCCTCTGTGTTTAGGGGAATCTGGGTGGATTTCCTACCTATACTCATAAAGGTTCATTTATCACTAGAACCTGCTATTTTTTCTTTCCCTTCTGTTGGCCCCTTCACTGGATATTAACAGTTTTTATCAGAAACAAAGGGCAGTATAAAGTAATGTTTAAAAACACACCCTCTGGGCCAGGTGACTTGGCTTAGAATCCTTGCTTTGCCATATCATTTACTAACCACATCATCCTGAGCAAGTTCTTCAACTTCTTTGTACCATTTACCTTTTGCTGTGTAGCGAACTACCCCAAACCTTTATGTCCCTTTTTTTTTTTTTTTTTGATACTGGGAATTGAATTCAGGGGTGCTCTACCATAGAGCTACATTCCCAGTCTTTTATCATTCCTGGTTATATGGGATGATTATATGATCTCTGTTAGGTTATTCCCTCTTAAGACTTATACAGTTGCTTTTGTTGGAGGCTGGGGTGGATATCATCTGAAGACTTGACTGGGTTGAATGTCCAAAGTGGCGTACTCACATATCTGAAAAATAATCTTATGGCAACTGTGAACTCAGTGTGCTCCATCAGTACCTCTGCTTCGCTATGTAGCTTGGGATGCAAAGAGTGTAGCAGCTGGTTTTAAGAAGTAGTATCCAAGAGCAAGTATTCATTTTAAAAGACCCTGCCTATATGGCTTCTTATGACTTAGCTTTAGAAATCCCAGAAAACCAGTTTCATTGTTTTCTATTGGTCAAACAAGTCACCAAGGCCAGCTCAAATTTAAGGATGGAGAATTACATTTATTTTAATAAGGAATAGCCTGCAAATACAGGGAGCAAAGGAATGGATGGATGGTGACCATCTTGGGGACTATCTACCACAGTGTCTGGGGAGAAAAGTGAGAAAAATAATAAAACTTCCCACATGGAGTTGTTTTGAGAATAAAAGAATTAATATAGGTAAAGTGCTTATTGTTAACAATATGAAATTATTAGTTCTTATTATTTCCATCCCTTCTACTTGGTATGACTGCCATGTTTTTCTAAGTCCATGAGAACTTGCACTGGGTACTGCAACTCCTCCTGGACACCTCTGCTATTTTTCTGGGTATTGCCATTTGCATGAGGCACTGCTACTTCCCACCTGTCATTCTAGATTTTCATAAATTCTGATGACTTGAAGTCCTTGGTGTGTCAAAGAAGAGATCACTGTAACCCTATTTGGTTATAGGTGTGTTGGTAATATTCAAGTAGTACTGCTGTGTCTCAATATAGTAAAAGATATTTACTTTTGCCTTCTGGGGATTGAACGTAAACCTGCGTGCATGCTAATAAGTATGTCCTTTACCACAGAGCTACACCCTCAGCTCCTAGAGTTTTTTATTGCTGTTGTTTTTGTTTTAAGAGAAGCCATCTAAGTGAATCTAAAGGGTTGAGAGACAAAGCCATATAGGTACTATACCAGTTTCATACCTCCTTCAAAATTTTCTCCCCTACCATAACTGAAGTTTTTGTCATTGCAGCAAGATTATCTTAGCTTCAGGTGAATTCTTGTCTAGGAGGCAGATACCTGCCCAGGCCATGTGCTGGACATTTTTGAACCCAAGTGGCAGGGACTTTTGCTTCATGTACAACTGGGAATTGTAGTTGGAATTGTTTTGGGAAATTTAGCAGGCAAAACAATAATAAAAAATGATAGAATTAATTTCTCTTCCCATAGAGCAGTTCTCTGCATTAATGTAAAAGGCTTATATTAACACTTCCATGGGGATGGGATTGCCTTTTGTATCAGATACTGTTTTTCATTTTATAATGAAGTGTTTCATAAAAGAGGAAAATGAGAAAAGCACCATAATCAAACCCACTTTCCCATTGTCTTATGCTATGCAATCCTAATGCTTTACTATATATTTTTTTTCTTTTCGTATAAAATAATATACCCATCCATTTCCCTGCAAATTCTATGATTTTGTCATTTTTTAGTGCTGCGTAGTACTCCATGGTGTATAAATGCCACATTTTTTTTATCCATTCATCTATTGAAGGGCATCTGGGTTGGTTCCACAGTCTAGCAATTGTGAATTGTGCTGCTATGAACATCGATGTAGCAGTATCCCTGTAGTACGCTCTTTTAAGGTCTTCAGGGAATAGTCCAAGAAGCTAGCCAATCCCTAAAAAACAAATACCAAATGTCTTCTTTGATATAATGAGAGCAACTAAGAACAGAGCAGGGAGGAAGAGCAGGAAGAAAAGATTAACATTAAACAGATACATGAGGTGGGAGGGAAAGGGAGAGAAAAGGGAAATTGCATGGTAATGGAGGGAGATCCTCATTGTTTATACAAAATTACATATAAGAGGTTGTGAGGGGAATGGGAAAATAAACAAGGAGAGAAATGAATTACAGTAGATGGGGTAGAGAGAGAAGATGGGAGGGGAGGGAGGGGGGATAGTAGAGGATAGTAAAGGTAGCAGAATACAACAGTTACTAATAGGGCATTATGTAAAAATGTGGATGTGTAACCGATGTGATTCTGCAATCTGTATTTGGGGTAAAATTGGGAGTTCATAACCAACTTGAATCTATTGTATGAAATATGATATGTCAATAGCTTTATAATGTTTTGAACAACCAATAAAAAAAAAATAATAATTACATGTTAAGACAATGCTTTGGTATATGAGTTTAAATAAAATGTTATTAACATTAAAAAAAATAATAAATAAACTAATATACCTTATATTACAGATGAAGTTGAAGTCTTTACTAGTGCTTTTTCTTTTTCTTCTGTTCCTTTCCTTAGAATTTTGGTAATTGTGACCATGCATATTTTGTTTGCGTTGGACATAAGCGTGTATTCCTAAATAATAATGTTGTATCAAGCCATCAGAAGTATATGGAAATGATTTTATATGGCACATGTAATTTTGCAGTTAATTATTTTCAGCCTTATGGTTTTGAAATTTATTCATATCAATAAAATGTTGCACAAACTCATTCATTTTTACTAATATAATACTTCATTGTGTAAGTATTCTGCAATGTATTCTTGTGTTCTGTTGGTAGATTGGATGTTTGCAGTTTTTTCCTTATTATGAACTGTCCTGAAGTGCAAACTTTCTTGTTCATTGTCTTCTTATGTATATGCGCAAGAATTTCTCTAGGGTATATATGCCTATCTGTGAAATGGCTGGAATATAGAATATGAACTTGCAAAATTTTTTTCCAATCTCTGGAAAATCCCTACCTTGAATAAATATTTTAGGAAGACAGACTACAATCTTTTCAAATTATCCATGATTAGTTAACATTAAGAATTAGATTCTGATTTGATTGGAAGACATTAAGAGCATTTACCACCTTCCTATTTCTTCACCCTAACTTGTGCTGAAATGAAACTTATAATCAATAATAATAATTTTAAAAGATCTACTTAAAACCCAGTAATTGTCATTATCAGTAAGTCCCATATTTGATCAAGCCTAATGTTTGTGACCCCATGGACCTGCCATAGAGAAGTATAATTGTCTGATCTTGAAGGTTAGGTTTCTTATTGCTTCCAGGTTGTTTTAATATGATTTTCAGCCTTCTGATGTTCTTCTCTAGGTGTTTGCTGAGAGCAAGAATGAGATTGCTTTGGTCCTCTTTGGTACAGATGGTACTGAGAATGCCCTTGCTGCTGGGGACCAGTATCAGAACATCACAGTGCACAGACACCTGATGCTACCAGATTTTGATTTGCTAGAGGACATTGAAAGCCGAATCCAACCAGGTTCTCAACAAGCTGACTGTATCCTTTTTCAACCAGAGAAGACTGAAGAAATTTTCGTTGATCTGGGGATTCATAATCTAGTTTGGTGGGGCTCTCTCAGAGTCCTGGCTCTGTGCATCTAGGCATATTTTGTTCTGAGGAGAAGGAGGATGTGGGTTATGATTTAATGTGAAATTAATCAAATTGGTTACCCAGGCTGTATGTCCTCCAGTCACATGCCCCTTCTCTGCATTACTGATACTGAGAAGTTAGGAGGCATTGAAAAGGAAGATATTAGGAAGTGTATGTGTGTATTGATTATATGATTATCTTTGGTGGGAATGCTGGTTAGAAATGTTTCAGGTAGAGAAGAGATAGATTTAGAATAGTTAGCATTAGCATTCTACTTGCTTCCTAGATGGAGGGTGCTTTTGTGCTAAAAATCAAGTTGATATCCAAACTCAGATTTTCAGTTTCTTCCATAGATTTCTTAATTTTAAGGACTTACTCTTGGTTTTTGTTTGTTTGTGTGTTTTTGTTTTTTTTTTTTTGGTTTTGTTTTTTTCCCTCAACAATTAGTAGTATCATTCCTGATCACTGGGAGATGCTCTGTGTTGAGTGACTTGCAAATACTACATTATGGCTTACTTCTAATTTAAGAATGTACTGTGATCACAAAAAATGACTTCTAGATATTGATAAAGAGCATCAAAATTTTCAGTTAAAAATGAATAGATTATCTCTTTTTTTCACACTGTATGCAGGATGTATATTTTGATGTATAGCATTTGTGAATATATGTTCATAAAATAAATTTTGGAGGAAGGACATTTGAGCAAGCACTTGTAAGTTCTCACATAGTCCACTGTATAATTTCTAGCACTGTGGACTTTGCTAGAAAAAAAGTTACATGTTCGTGGAAAGAAGTGACTGGTGCTCTTTCTACCCTTAACTAGCTGAGTCCTGGATGCCCTGATTGTGTGCATGGATGTGATTCAGAGTGAAACTGTGTAAGTACCTCACTCAAAGCTGGATATGAGCCTTTGCAAAAAATTGTTTGGGTTGATATATATTCAGTGCACCATGTGATTTGTTATTCATCAGGTAGCATGTTTTTTGTTGCAAAAGGAACTTTTGATAGAAAGTGGTTCAATCTCAGCTTTTTAAAAGTTTAAAAAGATGAAGGGCTATATTTAGGGGAAACAAACACTTGATGTATTTCAATTTCCTTTTTACTTAATTACCAGGAATTTTAAAAAATACTAAGTGGGGGCTAGCGATATAGTTTAGTGATAGAATACTTACCTAGCATATGCAAGGTACTGGGTTTGATTCCCCAGCACCACAAAAACAAAATGAAACAAATAAAATAAAATAAAAAGATAAAAATACCAAGTGGTGTATAATCCCTAAGTAACTGATATTAAGTAGTAACTCTGACCAATTTCCTGATTCATTATTTATTTAATTATTGTGCAGTGAAGACGTATGTCTTTGAACACACAAACTCTGCTCAGTGACCAAATATATTTGAGTTTGTAGAATATAACTAAGAATGATTTCTTAATGTGATCTCTCTCTCTCTCTCTCTCTCTCTCTCTCTCTCTCTCTCTCTCTCTCTCTCAGAGGAAAGAAGTTTGAGAAGAAGCATATTGAAGTGTTCACTGACCTCAGCAGCCCATTCAGCAAAGATCAGCTAGATATTATAATTCATAACTTGAAGAAATCTGGCATCTCCCTCCAGTTCTTGTAAGGTCCTAAGAATAATGTATGTAGACAAGTCCTGTCATCCCTAATGCAGTGAATGGGAAGATTCCATGGGAGTCTTCTCTTTTTGACAAACTTGGAATCTGTCGCATGACTGATTGCTCAGCAAACACTAATTGTTCTTTGTTTTCTAGGAACTCTTGAGTTTTGGTGATAAGGAGTGGAAATCCCAGTGATATATAGTGAAACAGAGGAATTGAACAGTAACATCATTTGTGTACTGTTTTTGGACTCATAGAATTGAGGGATTAGAATAATCTTTTGAGGATATTCAGTTTCTCTCTTGTCTGCATATAAGATTTTATTCAAACAGTTATCAGATTGATGATTTCTTTATTGAAAAAGCTCACAAGAACTGCCCTACTGATCATAATTTCTTTGGTGGGACAAAAATTTCTGCTTGGGAATCATTTTATAACATATAATGCTTATATTTACACTTTCTCAGATCTGAAGGATGCAGGGATATGTAAAATAAATTTCTTGTTTGTACTTAGAGATGAGGAAACAGATTTATGGGAAAACATATACTTCACAGTTTATTAGGCAGAGTTTCTCCTCTCATAGTAGCTTAAATTTCCCCTCCAGCATTTACTTTCTTCATCATACCTCCCTAACAAAGAAACTCTTCACTACACTAAACTTGGGGCTGCATTTGAAGTCTATTTTTCTTGTCCTATTTTTGGTGAAAGCAAGTGATGGTACAGGATGTTGAATTATTAATCTGGGGGTGCTCATTTTTCAAATTGAGAGCTGTACTAAGAAGCCTCTAGCTGTGAGTGGTAAGCCTTTGGCTCTTTAAAATGCCTGACATAGGGAATTGACCTCTCTTGCATGCATATATCTCATAATAGTGCTGAGGGACATCTTCCTGTAGGACTGTAGAAAGAGATTCTGAATAACTCATCAAATTGATACTTGTTAAGACAGTACTTAAGAAAAAATTAAGTGCTTTTTAAATGACACTTCTTATTGAGTTGAGGGTTTCTCAGTACTACGGAATCCCAGTTCAGCTTCTGTTTCCCATTCATGATCTCAGGTTACCACCACACAGTTGAAGTATACTGTATTGCACTTCTGCCAATGTCATTGAGAAAAAGCTGTGTTTCTTTTTTTGGTATGAGAAACCCAAAAAGAGGGATGCTTATTATTTGACTGATTAATTTTTGGGGGGTGATATGTTTTCTTCTTGTGCTACAAACTGCCAGCGTTCAAATCTTATGGTTTTATTGTTTTGTGTATTCCATGTTTGGTCGATTGTTCTAGGTGGATTTAAAAAATAGCATAAAAAAGCACTTTGTTTTTATCAGGCTTGTTCCTCAGACACAGCTTTGAGTTTCTTCTGACTATTGAGAATGCTTACTTCTGATTAAATGTAGGGCAGAAAGAACTGCTATTGTAACTTTTTAATTAAGGGTAAACTTCTAATTCTTCATTTTATCATCTGTCATTCCTTCTTCCTGGCCAATACTGTGGAAATAGCAGTAACAAACTCTGGGTGTTACACCTTGCTTCCTGGAAGCTTTTTATTTGACAAATAAAGTAGGGCCTACAAATCTGTCATGTGAAATATGTGTAGAAACATTTCAAACAAAACCCTATTTTAAGTATAGCAAATAAAATGATTGAAAAATTCCCTTAAAAATAACCATCCACATAGAGGTGGCCAGCAGAGAATGTTGAGTGAACTGAAAAGATTGCCAAATTTAGCCAGTTAGGTTTGCAGGGGTAAGAGAGTAAGGGGTGTTGCTATGGAAAGTATCTTGCCCTTTCAGTCAGGCGACTGAATCTTTGCTCCATTATTTATTAGCTATGTAGCTTTGGCCAGATTATTTCATCTCAGTAGCTTTAGTTGCATTTAGAAAATGGAGATACGAATCTCCAATGTAAGGATTAAATGAGATTGTTTATGCAAAAGTATTTGTAAAGTATTGTATAGAATATTACCAAAATTTATTTGATGGTTCATTTTTTAATTTGCATATTGATTATTAAATATTTTCATAACTGGTAATCCCAACTTAATTTTGGCTCATTTCAATAAACACCTGGCATGAAACTCAAGAACAAAATTGGGTTTTACTTATGCATTTTATGATTTCTGTATAGAAATTCTATGTCTGCAATAATATTTGAGTTTTAAGTATTTTACATACATTGTTTTATTTATACCCCATAATAATTATGAGGGATTATTAGTAGGCTTTGGTTTTTCTTTTGCCTGCCTAGAATATCATATAGCCTTTTTCTAGAAAATATTCCTTCCTGAACTCTAACATTCTAGCTGGAGGTTAGACTAACATCTTCTAGTTTTGACCATCGGGCTATCATTGTTTCTGATTTTTTTTTTTTAATTTGAGACCACTAGATTGAACCCTAAGGCCCTTTTAGGTAGTGAAGTCGGGCATTATGATTTTGTGTTAGTTCACCCTGTTGTGTGACAAAATACCTTAGACTGAGAAGTTTATAAACAAAATAAATTTATTTCTTAGGGTTCTGCAGGTTTGGGAAGTTGAAGATCACAACCTAAGCAGATTCAGTGTTTGATAAAGGACTTCTGCTTCCAAGATGGTGCCTGTTGCTGTGTCTTCACGTAGCTCAAAGGCCAAAAAAGATAGAAAAAAGGCACGCCCTTCAATCTCTTTTTTCATTTTCTTTCTTTCTTTCTTTTCTTTTTGGTACTAGGATTTGACCCAGAAGCACTTTACCACTGAGCTACCTCCCCAGGCTTTTACTTTATTTTTTATTATTTTTTGGTATTGTGGATTAAATTCAGGGGTGCTTAACTACTGAGCCACATCCCCCACCCTTTTTATCTGTTATTTTTGAGACAGGGTCTTGCTAGGGGCCTTAGGGCCTTAGTAAGTTGCTGAGGCTAGATTTGAACTTGTGATCCTTCTGTCTCAGACCCCTGAGTCAATGGGATTACAAGTGTGCACCACCATGCCCTGCTCTTTTTTATTTTTTATTTTGATACAGAGTCTTACTAAGTTGCTGAGAGTCACATTAAGTTGCCCAGGCTGGCCTCAGACTTGGCATCCTCCTGCCTCAGCTTCCTGAGTTGCTGGAATTATAAGGCGTGCACCACTGTGCCTGGCCCCTTTAATCTCTTATATAGGATCTCTGATGCCATTTCTGCAGATTCCACCATCATGATTTAATCATCCCTCCAAAGATATCACTTCTTATTTATTTATTTATCTTAGTTTTCGGTGGACACAACATCTTTGTTTGTATGTGGTGCTGAGGATCGAACCTGGGCCCCACGCATGCCAGGCAAGCACACTACCACTTGAGCCACATCCCCAGCCCATCACTTCTTAATACTATCACATTAACGATTAAGTTTCAACATAGGAATTTGGGTGGATACATTTAGACCATAGCAGAGCTTGAACGTGTGTGGAGGAAGCCATAATTGAGCAAGTGAAGCCAGTATAAAGGCAAACGAAGGCACATTATGGAGAGAGACAATGAGAGGGTCAGATATTGCCGCATGAGAGATCCTGGGTCTAGTCATCCTAAGGCCATGTACAGCTGTTTCTTTAGTTGTTTGGTTATATACCAAATCAAAGAGGTTTTAGTCACTTGAAATGAGAAGAGTATGGGCAGATGAGAAATATGAAGTTTTGTGAGATTGGTTGACGTGAATATTTTCTTGTAGCTTGTGAGTATCCGTCAAAGGATTGGAACCCAGTTTATTTGGCTTCAGAGCTTGTTCTCTTAACTATTGCTAATCTTTTCTTAATAGTTTGCCCTTCCCAATTGCCAAGATAAATGGTACTGGGGACAGAGGAGATGGCAGCTTGTACTTAGATGATCGTGGACCCTCCTTTCCTCAAAAAGGTATTACTGAGCAGCAAAAAGAAGGCATTCAGATGGTGAAAAATGTGATGATGTCTTTAGAAGGTGAAGATGGGCTGGATGAAATTTATTCCTTCCGGTAAGAAGTGAAAGTATGTGACAACTTTTAGTTGTACCCAAATAAATTTCTTTTGATCATGTATTTCCTTAATGCTTTGCTTTTTTGAGCTGCTCTCAAATTAGCAGCCAGTCTTTAAATGTATTCTGAGTTTTATTAAAAGAAATGGTATACTTACCTTCATCTCCCTTTTCTGGGTTTGTGTGGTTATCACAGGTTTCTCATTTATTTCCAGACTTATATAAATGGAGTTTGCGAATATAGAGAAAAAACAAGACATTTAACAAGTCGGTTTGTAAAAGATAAAGTAGTAGATTTCTTCTTTATGTCAAGCTTGAGGCACTTTTTTTTTGGGGGGGGGTCTCTTCTTTTCATACCCCTGCAAAAACCATTTTCACTTATAAAAAGTGATATCAGATCTGGAATAATCAATCTCTTCTGATTTAGGTTTTAGAGTGTGTGTGTCACTGTTTTTTGTTTATTTTTAACTTTTGGTCACCAAATAGTTTGACCAGGCCAAAGAAAAAAGAAATTTAAACCCAAAACATGAAGAATTCATAGACAATGTATTTCACATGAGTATTATGAAAACAACATAATTTTTAAAAAGTAAAATCTCTGAAGTGCCATATAACAAAGAAGCAAACTACTTTTTTCATGCATCCATAAAGACTGTGGGAGAAACCATTTTCTTTATCCATCTTATTCTCAGTTAGAATTGGACAGAATTTTATTTTGAGCAAAAAAACATATAGGAATTAATGGCATCTAGAATATCATGTGTATAAGGCGTCTGATTTGGCAAAAGTGACCATAGAATCTTTTACTGAACAGTTGGCTCTTGTGGATTCAGATCCTTAGGGAAATACTGCTTGATGTTCATGAATTAATTCCAGTTTATCAACCAGTACACAAAATACAGGCATGCAGTGTAAGCAGAATTCTTAAAAGAAGTAAATATTCAGCAACTAGAATATTTTTCAGTAGCAATAGTATATATCTGTTCTAATATTTTTCTCAGCCACAATGTTTAAGTATTTCTGGTAAGCTATAATTTACGAATATTACATCCTTACTTTGTAAATATGAACACCCTTGAAAAATTATAGGTAAGTTAAAGTTTTGGAAATAGAATAATAATTTTCCAGAGGGTTGCTAAAGAAATCAATGAGGAATACTGTAAAGTGAAGTTTCTTGGCATAAAGTGTATTGTCACAATTTGTGCAGTTATATATTCTTAAGTTCTCTGAAAAATTTTGGGAATACATGCCTTAAACTAACATATTAGCCATGATAACATAAATAAAAATTACAGGCCAATACAAATTTTAAAATTTATTTTTAAAGTTTTTTCCTCCTTGTAGCATAGCAAGTAGATACATTATTGACTATGCATTGTCCTAGCAATTTGAAGCTACTTTGATTTTAGATCTGCCATGAAAGTGTGGACTAGAACCTTGCTATCCAATACAAAATCCCTTAGCCACATGTGGCTATTTAAGTTTAAATAAATTTAAAAATTTGGTCTTTAGTCACACTAGCCACATTTTATTTCAGTTGCCTGTTGGGGCGTCATGTTTCGAAATGGAGTATTTCCAATCATTATAGAAATTATACTCCACAGCACTAGACTAGACTTATGCCATGAAGATCTTTGGAAGACAACTTGAGTTCTTGGGGAGATTTAACTCTACTGCATAACTGATAACAGTTGTTCTCAAATCTTATATGATACTGGTCTTTAGATTTTCCCCTGGAACAGAATCTATATCCTTATGATGGTTTTAGATTTGACTTATACTTGGATTAATAATGTCTTATGAGACAGTGTATATCTGGCTTAGACCTAGTCATTCCCCAACAAACCCAAAGCAAATATATACTGTAAACTCAGGAAATAGGGTGTCAGTTGAATATCAATTATTTATTTTAAATTATTTCTGAGAATTGGAGTCTATTGAGGTCTCTCTGTCTATAACTGTGGATGATGTAAGATAATTCTCTTGACCTCTTTGTAGATCGGTTTTTCATCTATAACCAAGGAGATGGAGCCAAAGGCTTTGAGTATATTTAATTGCTAATTCCTTTGTTTTTTATCTTAGTGAAACCATAAATTCCACCTATCCTATAATCTTCTATGTTGTATTTCATTAGAGCAAGTAAGAGTTGATCTTTACTTTTAAGTGAAGAAGCTCCTCCTCCAGCCCTTTATACCAGTAAAAAACCTAGAGTTATCTACCTTAAGACTAAATGTAGTCAAATAATTTGCTTTATACCCAATAGTCTTTACTTAACCCTTTCTACTGTGTGCATAAAAATAGATCATGTCTTTTAAGAGATTTGGAATTAACTAATTAAGTATGTGAATTGTGGTGTTGTAAGCAGTGGTGTCATATTCCATAGCAGGGTTCTTATCCTTGGGTCTGTTGTTTTCAGGGAGTTGGTAAACCATTTATATTGTGTGCAGACTCATTTGTGAATGTGCTTTTTATTATATCCTCAAAAGTGTCCTTGGTCCTGAGAAAAATGTAAAGAATCTTTGGCAGAGTTGAAAGAATGATTGAATAGGGGAAGATAGAGCTATTCATTTTCACCTGTCAGTAAAACAGTTCAACTCCTACTTCCTTCTAAGCCATCTCATTTGTGTTCTGGCTCTCTCCCAAATGATTGTCATTTTCCTGCCATCCCCTGCTGTTCCTCTGTCTATAATCATCAACATCTCATTTCTCATTCTAGAAAATTGAATGCATCATCTAGCATAAGGTAGCATTCTTAAATTGTTACTTTTATTGTGTATTTTTCCTTATTAAGTGAGAGTCTGAGACAACTATGTGTCTTTAAGAAAATTGAGAGGCGTTCCATGCCCTGGTCCTGCCAGCTGACCATTGGCTCCAATTTGTCTATAAAGATTGTGGCCTATAAATCGGTAAGTGGTAGGTACACAGTTTTTAAAGAGAAGTTACCAGAGAGATAAATATGCTTATATAAGCAGCTGACAATTCATGTGTGGGTTATTCAGAGTATAATTAATGCTTCTCTAGCTGCTCTTCCTTTTCATTTAGTCTTCTGTTTAGCTTCTTATGTAAAAGGCATGCCAGGAGAAGTTTTCAGAATTATTTATGATAAAGTTTGATTCCCTCCCTTTTCTCTGCATTGATAATTGATTGTTATGGAATTCAGTTCTCTTGGTGTGTCTCTGGCTGTGTGTGTGTGTGTGTGTGTTTGTGTGTGTGTGTGTCTCAAAGAAAATGTAATTCATTATGTTGACATTGTAATATGGCAGAAATGTCAATGATGTGCAAAAGTTCAGAGTTTTGGAGACTCACACTTAATTCATTTATTAATGATCTGATAGTGACAAGATCTATGAAACATTAAAAGATACTGAGTTGTTATTGTGAAATTATGTTTCATAATATATGCACATTTGACCATAATATTATGCACACTTTAAAAAGTGAGTTTCTTTTGGTAATTATTTAATGAAATTCCAGTCTGAATTGGAATCTCTGACCCATGTTTCCACATGAGCAAGGATTTGCCTTTTTTGCTAAATCTACAGAATAAAATAAAAACATTTTAAATATAAAAAGTAAACATACAGACATGTTTTTGTATATTCGAGGACTGAGTTCCTAAACCCATGGTATGTCATAAGAAGCTTAGAGGTAGTTCTTTATTTTGGGTTCCATTAAGGCCTAGAATAGTGTTCCTAGGAATGAGAATAGTCTCCTCCCTTCTTTATTTGGCTTTCCTTTTCAAAATTTGTTGATTTCTGACTATTGATATGTTGCTTTCTCTTTCTTTTTTATTAGAATATTGATAAAGTGTATGGTCTTCCTTTTTTAGGGTTTTGCATAGAAATTATTTATGTATATTCAGATATTAATATTTGTAGATCATCCTAGGGGATAATGAAATGTAGAGAAAGTTACAGGTATTTCCTATTGTAAAATAAGCCAAGATTTCCACAATAGGTAAGAGTAAGACAATGTAGTAATTGTTCTAGATTTTTGTTTGTGAACTAGAGAACATGTTAGGTTTTTATCTTCTGTCAGTCAGAATCCTAGCATTCCTTATTTTTTTTTTTTAATTTTGAAATTAAGATTACTTTGGAGCAAATTAAAAAGACTTGGATGGTTGTGGATGCAAGAACCCTAAAGAAAGAAGATATACAAAAAGAAACAGTTTATTGCTTAAATGATGATGATGAAACTGAAGTTCCCAAAGAAGATACTATTCAAGGTATGTTAGTAAGAGTTTGCACTTTAGCCTAAAAGAGATTTTTCTTAAGGCAGTATGAGACAGGCTACTATTTGTATTATTGTTCACTTAAGGATTTTACTTTGAGGTATAGATAAGATGCAGCTGTCTGATGGAGACATTTTTTTCCTTTAGCTCATCTGTTGGGACTTAGGCTGAATGGCTTCTAAGAGAGCACGTTTTTCATCCTTGTCAATTTTAATTTCAGGTGACAGGGCTTAATACTTGGCTTTATTTAAAGTTGAAACTCATTAGCTAAGAGAGTATTAACATTAAAGTGGCTAAAGCAAGTGTTTTGTTTATTTTTTACTTCCATGATGATTATTCTTCCAAGTTCCAATTTCAGTTATTATATCCAGATATGTTTTCTTATGTTAATTCAGAGGATAAGGAAAATTATTTTTGTTTGTTATATTGCTTTGGACTCACTAAGATCTTTAAAGTTGTACTCATATATTATTCCCATTTGCCTTGGGTAGTATGTCTAGATGGCCTTTCTATCCAGAGGACTTAAAAGTTAGCTAAGAATATCTGAATATTCAAGAGCTAAAATTATAAGATACCAAATGACGGTTTAAGATAGCAACCAGAATTCTTAAAAGAAATTTATTGCCAGGCTATGCACTGCTCAGTATAGTTTTGATTTGCAAGTTTTGACAAAAATTTCATCTATAGCACTGTATCTCATAGCATATAGTTATGTGTGTTAGGAGTAGAGACATTTAAAAGTGGGAATGGGGGCTGGGGATGTGGCTCAAGCGGTAGCGCTCTCACCTGGCATGCGCAGGGCACTGGGTTCGATCCTCAACACCACATAAAAATAAAAAATAAAGATATTGTGTCCACCTAAATATTAAAAAAAATAAAAGTGGGAATGGTTTTGACTCCCTGGAGGATTATGTATGAAGTATAATTAACACTCTCCAATTTCTAATAGCTCTTTAATTCAGTTCAGTAGTATAGAACATGAATTTTGGAATTAGACTTGGGGTAGAATCATTCCTCATGGTTTGATCCTGGTATGACTGGCACATAGTAGGAAGAGTAGCATAAGGCCCAAGACCAGGAAAGTAGAGGGCCTACTGTGGTACAAAATTGACAGCCTGCATTTTCTCTTTTAGCTGTCACAACAACCTAAAGAAGCAGGCACTTGTTATTTCCATTCTACAGATAAAGGAAGCAAGGCTGAAAGGCATTCATTAACATATTCAAAGTCACACAGTTAACAACTAGCAGAACTTGAATCTAAGGCTGTGTTCCTTTACAGTCTGTGTTCCTACATATTATTCTGAATCAGGACTGACTAATTAAGGGCTTTCAATGATAGAATACATTTATATATTGAAAGCAGTGTGGAGTCTTACGGTTTTTAGGAGCAGGGAATCATTGGGACTGCATTTTAGGAAACTGAATATGACAATTGGGTACAGAATGGATTGGAAGGAGAAAGGTCTAGAGATAAGGGTGTAGGTTCTTTTTGTTGTTAGCAAAGAAAATTCTGGTATGTTACACAAAGATAATTTATAGTGAGGCAGTGGAAGGAGAAGAGTTAAAACCCTTTTGGGTTCAAAGAGCATTGAATTGCATCTTTTTCACCTTTATCATTTTATTTACAGACTTCCTTTCCTTGTCCTTTATTCCCTACCTCCTAACATGCAGAATTCTCTTTGTTAAGCAGAGAGACTAGTATACACATGTGGGCAAAGAAATGTGGTTATATATTGTAGGGGTTTTTTTGTACTTTCTGCCAGGTACAAAATTAAAATTATTTGCCGTTTAAGTAGAAGAACCAGAAAACCCAAGACATTTTTAATTAGAACTTTCAAGTTACTGTTAAATGAATCAAATGAAAAATTGACTGATGACAGAAAAAGTTAAAAAAGCTTTTGGTTTAGATACCACTGTTAATCAAGTACCATGTATTTTCCAGTTAAAATGTTGTTGGAGTTTTTTTGTTATTGTTGCCAGTTTTTTTTTCAACATACAAGATAAAAATTGCAACATGGATTTTTATTGTTGTTTTAAATTTTTTAAAGTTTTTTTGTAGTTGTAGATGGACAGAATGACTTTGTTTTATTTGTTTATGTTTATGCGGTGCTGAGGATCGAACCCAGTGCCTCATGCATGCTAGGCAAGCGCTCTACCACTGAGCTACAGCCTTAGCCCCTATTGTTATTGTTTTTGATATATGGTATCAACAGACTAAAAGAACAAGTAAACACTAGATCATAGATTCTGCCCCTGGACACCCAGGTTTTTTTGTTTTTTTTTAATTGTTATTGGTTGTTTCTTGGAGTAAAGAAGAATGTGCTTGTCCTTGCATTTACCTTGAATTTTGATGATCCATGCCCCACCAAATATATAAAATACTGTTTATTGAAAGGACATAATCTTTCTACAGAGCAGAAGCCTTGGATTAGACTTAGAGTTTTTGTCTTTTGTGGGTGGTGGGTGTGCTGCATTATGTAGATTTCTCAGTAATTAAAAAGAGAAAATGCAGTCAAATCCAAGAAATATAAAAAATTTAAATGCAGAAAAATGTACAACTTAGCAGTTGAATGTTTCTAAACAGAAGAGTTTTGGTTTCGTAGGTATCCAGCATGGGTTTTTGAGAACATTTTGTTCTGAAAATTTCTTATGGATGGTTTTCTCTGTGGTCTCCAGGCTTCTGAATAAATGTGTTCTTGTTATTATGTTTACGAATCATGCTTGTAGTTTAGTTTACCATGGTTTATCTTTGGAGGATAACTAGTACATTGCATTTGTGACATCGTTTCTTTTAGCCTGGATAATCATTAAGGTAACTAGATTGAAAAAGATGCTACTTAAAAAATGTAATTAGATTTTAATTTTCTCTGTATTGTATACGTGGTTTGTGATTCTGCTGCTGCTCTTTCCCTGTTGATCACAAGGGGCAGCAATTTGATTCCAGGGAATAGAAGATGGAGGCTCACTCTAGAGTGTGCCTGCATTGTTAATGTATGTGTAGAGCTCATTTCATCTCAGAGAAAATGAGCCCCATATGCTTAACAGATGCTCTTCTCTCGTTCTCTAGGGTTCCGCTATGGAAGCGATATAGTTCCTTTCTCTAAAGTGGATGAGGAACAAATGAAATACAAATCGGAGGGGAAGTGCTTCTCTGTTTTGGGATTTTGTAGATCTTCTCAGGTACAGTAATTACTTTGCAATTATGAATAAAATCTGTGAGCTTTTCCCCAGTTGTTACTTGAGGTGGTATGCTTTTGATTGGTCATTTCGTTTACAGTATTTACTTTACTTTGTTTTCTTTAATGTAGTTGGGGGGTTAGTGTAGCTATATTTGATTTTTGATACTCTTCCCTCTTTTGGGGGGTACTGGTGATTGGACCCAGGGATGCTCTACCACTGAGCTACATCCCTGGCTCTTTTTATTTTTTGAAATAGGGTCTTGCTAAGTTTGTGAAGGTCTTGCTAAATTCCTGAGACTGGCCTTGAACTTGTGATTCTCCTGCCTAAGCCTCCTGAGTTTCTGGGATTACAGGGGTGTGCCACTGCACCCAGCTTATTTTTGATTTTTGAAGAGAAAAACCAAGATGTAAATAAATCTGAAGAATAGGTTCAGTTAAGTCATTTCCTCCCTTTGCTGACCATCAAAGCTCATAGTAACCTTAAAGGTAAAGAAATAGTATTCATTTCTTTGCTGTGGTATTTCTTTCTCTAAACTATGATGTATAATGGAGTGTTTTAGATGATTGCTACGTGGGTTTTGAATGACATTAACTCTCAAAATATCATTGATTAATAGTGGTCACTTTCCTTCTCAGTTCCAATGTAGAGTTCTAGGATGTGAAACTTATCTATATAAGTAACATGTGTTTTAGGCCCCAAAACAAAGAAGTACTAAATAGACAATGTGGGAAATGGTGTAATTCACCTTGGGATACCACATGCTATCTTAGAAGAGATTGTTAAAAGATTCCCGGAGATCTTAGATTAAATGTTCTTGAGGTAGGCAGCCAAAGAGATAAATTATAATTAGGAAATATAAAATGTAGCTTTATATATGTTTTACCCAAGGTATATAGGGATGAAGAGATTTTTATTGGAGAACTCATGTGAAAATTCTAATGAAGTATTCTGAATCCGGTATTCTGAATTTGAACATCCTCATGTTGCTCTGGCATATAGTCTCCTTGTACTTCAGTGTTAGAAGAGTTTAGTGAGGTTGAGGAGAATTGTTTTCATGATTCTCCAAACTGATACGTATGTATTCAAAACTCATAAGCCAAAAATTGAGAGTATTTACTTAAAATCTGTAAGATTTTATTGATCAGAATAATTACTTTTAGGAAGTTGAGAGTTTCTAACAAGACACTAAATATGGCTTTCTTAAAAATGAAATTATTCACTTTATTTATTTATTTATTTTTTCATAGTGCGTCTCCTTTATTTGGGGTCTCCTTAATGCTTTTAGCAAAGTTTCACAAATTATTCACTTTAGAAAGCATATAAACTTAAAACTGATGAGTATTGGTAGCAGTGCTTACGAGTCTTCAGCATAACAGAAACTTCATTTTCACTGTTTTATAGAAACTGGTCTATTAAGAAGTGAATGTAGGGCTGGGGTTGTGGCTCAGCGGTAGAGCGCTTGCCTAGCAAGGGCGAGGCCCTGGGTTTGATCCCCAACACCACATAAAAATAAATAAATAAAGACATAAAAAAAAGTGGAATCATCTTAATAAAAGAAAGAAAGAAGTGACTGTAGATCTAGATAGGCAGAAAAGACCTGTGAAAACCCTTCAAGTATAATTCAGGACTCAGGATATTGAAATCACCTTTGCCAGGTTGGGAGGGAGAGCCTATTTCAGTTAAATAGCAAAGCAAAATAATGAACAGAACAAAAAATATACTTTCCATTTTAGAAGACTTTTTAAAAATTTTTTTAGCTGTAGTTGGACACAGTATCTTTATTTATTTTTATGTGATGCTGAGGATCGAACCCAGTGCCTCTACCATTGAGCCCCAGCCCCTGCCCTAGAAGACTTTTATTAACCTAAAATTAACTTCTAAAATCATGAAGTGTTTTCTAAGTCGACTTTTTGTTTTTAGGCTCTAAGTCAATTTAATCCTAAGTAAAATCCCAGATAAGTACAATGAAGATAATTATTATAGCTACCATTTATTGAATAATTATAATATTCTAGTCAATGTATTAATAAGCATTTTATGTAAATTTTCATTTAATTCTTATTTTAATCCTCTCAGGTAGATGCCATGATCTGCATTTTATAGATTAGGAAGTTGAGGCTCAGAGCTGTTAAGTATCTGGCCCACGGTCACACAGCTCCGAGATGGTAGAGATGGGTTTTGAACAGGACGGCCTCCAAAGCCTATGCTATTGTTTAATGGTAATCTGTTCAACAAATGAACAAACTCAGCTTTTGACTAGTCTAATGTACATACATGATTTCATACGTTATCTTAACAAAAGGGCGCAAGTGTTAAGAACATGGTAACTGTGATAAAATATAAGCATACATCTTTTTACAGACTAGTGATTATCTTTGAATTAATAAAATCACATATTGTTCCATATTTCCTTAAACCAGAATGTTGAAAAACTAACATTTTTTAATTGAACTGATGATAAGTTTTCATTTTGTTTTGGGGTGTGTATGTGTGTGTTTTATTTGTTTTTGTTTTTGTTTTTGTAGTGCTGTGGATGAAACCCAGGGCCTTTCACATGCTAGGCTGCTTGCCATAGAACTTAACCATAGAACTACATCCCTAGCCTGCTTTTTGTTTTTGTTCTTTTAATTGTGAATTACTTTTAAAAATTTAATAGGTTTTTCAATTTGCTTGTCTTAATGTTGTCAAGTGTTCTGGGTGTCTATATGATAGATAAAAATTTAGCCAGAATTTTCCCAAATGTCTGACTGTTCTTTGAAAAATCATTTGGGTACATTTGGAAAAGTAATCATTAGCTGTTCTTTAATAAATCAGGAACTATTATAGATTCTGTTAGGGCAAGTCGAGCTATATGAATATAGCAAACTAAAATATAGGTTTATTCCCATTATGGGGGAATGGAAGTGGAGATGAGGGACATTTGAATTATAAGGGCCTTACCCATACCTTTGAGACTCATCTTCTTGAGCTGCTGTTACCATGCAAGTACTCCAATAATTTCTCAGGTGAGAGGGCAGGAAAAAAACATAAGGAACATTTCCCCATATAGCATGTGTCATGTGGTTATAAAGAAGTTCCAAGCTCCAGATTACATAGATCAGAAAGAAGTTGATCTTGGTAGGTACATGCAGGTGGTTATGATTTCAGGAACTCCTCATTATTTATTTTCTAATTGAATATTGGTGGATTGCTTTGACTCCTCTGATAACTTTGCTGGTAAGTTAATTGAATTTTAAAAGGGGAAAGAAAGGACACGCATACTTATTTCTGGTTTCATAAGTTTCCCTTTCTTCAACTGTATCCCTTGCTAATTTGTTCTTCACTTCATTCTCTGCAGTTCATCAGTGCTTTGTCATTGCAGTTAGAATAAAGTCCAAGCCACATAACTTGTTTCTAAGAGACTTCATGATCTAATCATTGTTAATCTTTAATATGATTTCTCACATTTCTCCTTACACTGTGGTGCTGCACTACTCCAAAACTACTCCAAATGTACTTTAGTTTATATCACTCTAGACTTTGATTCACAATAGCGTGAATCTCTTCCTGGGACCTTGTGCCCAGATGTGCCTCTGAGTTGTTTCCTTTTTATCTATTAAGTCTTAACTTAGGTGTCAGCATTTGCTGACCTTCTCTTAACCTTCAGTGACCAGACTTGGTGCCCTTCATATGTGCTCTTATAACATCATATAACCTTTGATGCTAATGCTGCATTGCAGTTAATTTCATGTTTGTCTCTCTAAGCTCCTCAAAAGCAAGATTATGTCCCGTTCACTGTCGTGTTTATTGTATTCAGGACAATACAGTACACACACTAGGTGCTCAGATGTTTGTTGTGTTGATGAATGGTCATCCTCAAATAATAAGTTGTCTCTGGTCGCTATGAATGTTTTCTTGTAAAAACATTTTGAATAGAATTTCTTAGCAATGTGTGGCATTATGGCTATATATATATATATATATTTTATATTGGATCAAAACCAATTATTTTCCTCTCTTACTCTTGTAGGTCCAGAGAAAATTCTTTATGGGAAGTCAAGTTCTAAAGGTCTTTGCAGCAAAAGGTGATAAGGTGAGTTAACTGGATCATTCAGTTAGTGCTTCAGAATTGAATTGTCATTTGATGAAAGTGGATTGTTTGGGGCTTTTGAAGTTTAAAATGACATGAATTCTTGCAATAGCATTGGGAAAATTCACTGACCTTTAAATGTGAAAATGGAGAAATGATAAATGAGTTTGTTTTAGCATGAGTAAAACACTTGAGGACATAATCCTACAATTGGAGACCAAGTATATATTAAAAAGGAAACATTTTGAATGACTTCATTTAGGTGTGGGAATTTCATGGTCAAATGTTGAGGGGGTCGGGGTCAGGTTGACATTTTGATTTTTCATAAACACTGAACATATAGAGTTGGCATAAGCATCCTGGAGAGACACTTTAGTGGCTCACTGAACTACTTCTATTATTGAGGAATTTGATCTTTTCCCCCTCCCTCTTCCTACTCTTTTCTCATCTCCCCAAGATTTTTGCATCCTATACTCATACCTGCTCCCTTTGTAAATATTTTCTTTCTGACCACCAAATCAGAACTTACTTACGACTGTTGAATCAGGTTTCCAAATCCATGAAGTATTTAAAATTGAAATTAGTAAACTGAATGTAGTAGGTTTGTCTGGGAAGGGATAGGGTGTTGGTATAACAGGTTATAACCCTCTTATTATCCTCACTTCTGAAAGGTAGCTGGCTGTTGATCTAGATAGATGGGTATGCCGTTTGTTATTCTATGAGAAAATTAAAATTAGAAGAAAATGTGTGGATTCCCCTCACTACTGAATGGGATAAATTAGAACACAGTTGAAATGGGGAATCTTCATATTTGAGAATTCTAGTTCATAGGTTTTTCCTGTATCAATTCTCAGAAATCATGTAGGTCTGGTGTGTACTGTCAAACTACAACTTGTTTTTAACTTCTGTTGCTGAGGTTTTAAATCCCATTTGTCCCTTTACGCAAGAGAATTCTAATCATTTTGGGAGAAATGCTGCATGTGCAGTGAGGAATGTCATGTCACTAAGCTGTGTTGAGAATCATGTGTTGGGTGATTATCTAGATTTGATAGCCAAGGGCAGCCTTGTGAATTGTGTAATTAGAATCTGGCTATATACAGATAACTACTTCCTACTGTCAAATAAAAATGTAGAGACAAAGCTTCAAAGAAGGAACTTCTATTTGGGAATGAAGAATAGGATTGTGACTCAGATACTTATTCTCTAGATCTGGAGTGGGGCCCAAATCCTACATTTCTTGAAAACTTTCAGGTAATGTTGATATTGCTGGTCTATGAACCAAGTTTTCACATACACAGGCCTGGTGGCCTCTTTTCTGTTTAAAGAACAAAGGAAAGTTTGGGGATCTTATTGTAAACTTTAGCATTTGCACAGAGAGTCAGTCCTCTGCAAATTACTAGGAAAGAAAGTCATTGCCACTTTGGTGCTTGAGGGAGCTGGTGAGCTCTGCTCATTGAGCTGTGGCAGTTACTATGTAAAGCTGCTTTTGAGATTGTATTAGTGTTTTGTCAGTTGCTAAGTACTGATAGTCATAAAGTTGCGCTCTCATGGGATTGAGATGATTCTGTGAGGCAATTCCTGAAGCAAGCATCAGTTGTCTTATGCTTATTTTGTCAGTGAATATTACTGTCTCCAGATGGATTTTTTCTTTTTCTTTTTTTTTTTAGTTGGTCAGAACTCCATCCCTATAAGTTTCCAAGCAGTCTCTGAGTGTTCCCTCTTCCTTTTCATGGCTTCTCCACTCCATTTTTGTGGTTTGTGACAGGAATGACTTCATTTTGTATAATGAATTTTCAATACTGTACATTGTAAGGTCACTTCAGTATCACTCAAGAAGAGATATTTTCAGATCTATTGGCAAAGGATGAACAACTTTTTGGTGTCAGTTTTTAATGTGGTGGTCAAAAAATGGTATTGTCTTATTGGGGTTTATGAGGTAATGTTGTGATCTGTGTTAATACATGCATCTTTCTTAAAAGGCAGCAGCAGTTGCACTTTCCTCCTTGGTTCATGCCTTGGATGAATTAGACATGGTGGCTGTAGTTCGATACGTTTATGACAGAAGAGCTAATCCTCAAGTTGGTGTGGCTTTTCCTTATATCAAGGATGCCTATGAGGTAAAACCCACAGGTTTATTTTTTTTGTATTCTCCCTGCAACCCATCCTTTATGCTAAGCAGTGCTTCTCAACTGTTAATATGTATGGGAATTACTTGGGGATCTTGTTAAAATTCAGATACTTATTCTCTAGATCTGGAGTGGGGCCCAAATCCTACATTTCTTGAAAACTTTCAGGTAATGTTGATATTGCTGGTCTATGAACCAAGTTTTCAATTGTAAGGAAACAACATAACTTATAAAAATATTTAAGGAGGTTTTTATTAAATCAGTAAGGGTTAACTGTGTTCTTTTCTCTCAGTTCTTGACCTTCTTGACTTCAGAATCAAATGGGAAGAGAAATACCTCCACTTTAATAAACAGGGATTATGAATAAAGGTTGAGGATATGATTTTTGTTGTGATCCATGTAAAGTCCATTTGGGGCTTTTCTGTTTTAAAAGATCTGTATTTAAAATATAAGTCTAGATTCCTTACCAGAAATATAAAGTGAAAGCAAATATCTTGACTTGCAGGTCAGCCTTCCAGGCACCCTGCCTTTTCTTATTTTTTTTACTTGGTCATGCATGCATTTTACAGTTTGCATTTAGTAGTTTTTTTGTTTTGTTTTTAGTTGTCAATGAACCTTTATTTTATTTATTTATATGCGATGCTGAGAATTGAGCCCAGTGCCTCACACATGCTAAGCAAGCGCTCTACCACTGAGGCACAACCCCAGCCCCTTAGTAGTTTTGTTTTTAAGCATTTCTTTAATGTTTAATATTTTTCATATTGTTTGCAGTTGTGAATAGTCAGTAGCACAAGTCAAAACACTTTAGTTTTTCATGTGCCAGATTTGAGTTTTCTGATTTCTGAAATATTTCTGTTGTGCCATTTTTACAACATTTGGGACCGTTTTTATATTTTTTCCATTAACTTTATTGTTTCTGCTTTTGTCCCCTTCCTTTCTCATTAGTGTTTAGTGTATGTGCAGCTGCCTTTCATGGAAGACTTGCGGCAATATATGTTTTCATCCCTGAAAAATAATAAGAAATTTACTCCCACAGGTGAGTTTATTTCCATTTAGTTCACTAATGGCTCTGCATGCAGATTTATTCTTGGGCAATCACCTGGCTCCAGTCATTGGTTGTTGATAAGATTTCACAGGATGGAATTGGTCAGTTCTGTTCTTATACTCCTGAACTATTTTTTCAGTACTAGAAATAGCTTTGCCCTGAACTTTCTAAATACTGTCTAGTTCCCCCTTCTGACTTTGTGCATGTGTCTAGGGAATAGCTTGTTGGTGCTGGGTGTCTGTTCTCTAGTTGTGATCAACTTTGCCCCTGCTGAAATGAATTGGTGTGCAGTATCACACCATGTTCTACATACATGAAAAATCTTGGAAATTCACATGACAATACTGGAAATGAGCTTTTCTCTTTGCCCTCCTTTTATAGTTTGCAGTAAGGTTAAGTCTCATTGTTATGTACTTCTAGCATCTAGGAGTTACTTGGAACTTAATGAGAAACCCTGTTATTTGGCCTCTGGCTGCACATGTAGGATATTACACAGAATGAGTCTCAGAGTAACAGGTCCAGTCTTCCTGAGAGCACACCATTTAAGACAACTGTAATAAAATGTAGCAGGGGACAGAATGAGAAAATATACCTAAAAGAACAACAAATGATGGTAGATAATTTATTCTTCAAGTTTAATTTATTATCCGTGTCAGTGTAGGATTAAGGGGTTGTAGGTGTGTTCTTCCTGTGTGTTGTTTTGGTTCGACCTTTTCGGAGCAGTGTGCTGAGAAAAGGCTAAGAATTAAATGGGTTCCTACGGCTGGGATCTTTGTCTTCCTTCTAGAGTTGAGGCCCTCTACGTCATGGTGGAGGCAGGAATGGACCCAAATGTATAAAGTTGTCACTGTGTCATAGTCTTGTCTCTACCTCTTGATCATTTCAAACTTTAAATGAGTAGAATATTTTTTAAAAAGAACTTTGTTTAATAATTATTTTATAGACATAAATCATCAGAATCTCAAAAATCAGATATCTTTAGATCTGTTGATCTATTTTCTGTGTGTTAACGTATTTCTGTTTATATTCTTTCCTGTGGAAAAATGGATTCTTAAAGCTGTTTAATGTATTTCCCTAGTTGATGTAGGAGTCGATGTAGTCATTGTAGGAGTTTGAAAGGCCAGAATAATCTGGCCTGATACTAACTGGTAGTAGCAGATGAAAATCACTGAATGTTCACATGTGTAAGTATCATCTCCTAGCTAATTCTATGTGGACACTGCACTAGTTAGCTTAAGTTGGTGATAGCTATGCCTTTGTCTGAAACCTTCTCTGGAAAGTTCAAAAACAGGAAAGAAATGTGCCACAGTACCTACCTCTGTGCTCTTTCATTTATAGTGCCTGTACAAAGGGATATCTGAAATGGTGAAGAATAGAAGCAAGGTACTTTTGAGAGACTTCAGGCATAAGGTACATTTTACCTTTTGCCTAGTGACTGTGAATCCAAAAATAGTACTTAAGTTCTACAGCTGAACTGCTGTGAATCAGCAGTACAGAAGCATTTAAGAAAGAGTTGTTTTTCATCCACATCGCTTTGGACTATCCCAGTTTTGTTTTACTTGGTAATTTTTTTTTTTTTTTTTTAGTGTAGATAGACACATGCCTTTATTTTATTTATTTATTTATTTTTATGTGGTGCTGAGAATCACGCCCAGAGCCTCACACATGCGAGGCAAGCGCTCTACCACTGAGCTACAAACCCAGACCTTGGTAGATGTTTTTTTTTTTTGAGAAGCACTTACTTGCTTTCTGTTGGGTATTAGAAAAGACATAAAAAGGTTGTCATGGAACTTCAGAATATTTTGAATTGAGTGGGGTAAGATATGTACATGGGTGTATATGTATGCAGGAGGAACTGATTCTAACAGGAGAATCAGCTCACTGTGGTCCAATGGTGTCGTCCTGTTAAGATTCTAGACTCTGATAAAAATTACATTAAGTATTAGAAAGTTTATGCTTCATTGCCATAGGGGTTTTCTTTTTCTTTTTAATGTCTTTCTCTTTAGTTAACTACTAATTTTTAAAAAATAGTCAAAATGGATAGTACACGTTCTCTCCATCATACACTCGCCCCACCCAGGAGTTGGGCCTTCCATCTCTCCATTGGAAAGAGTTGCTTCAAAAGCTGCCTATGTAGGGAAGATGGCGGCGAGGGGAGTGCATTACCCCCGTGTGCTGCTTCACTATGTGGGAGTATGACAAGTCAGGACGGCTAAAGGATATCTTGTTAGGAATATCCAGCAATAGTGGGGTGCGCCGGAACCTGGAGGAAGGATTTCCATCGCATGAGGATCGGCTAGGGGGACTCAAACGCGAGAGGTTTGTCGCACGGAGGGTAATACTGCTTATTCAGCAAATCGCCCCGCGGCTAGAGTCTGCAAGGCGCGCTGGGATAGAGACGCAGGGTTACAGCGCTGCAGTTTCTGCCAGACGCGCAAGCACCGCACTCAGGGCTGAATTCTGGGTTCGAGACGGGGAAGGAAGCGGTCCATCTCGGTTCTCCACACCGGTCAGACCACAGAGGAGGCCAGCAGCCACCATGTTGGTAAACTGACGTCACCACACCTGTTTTTGACTGACCGCAGCTCATTCAGCCATAGAACAGGTAATTTCAGGCTGCAATTCGCCTGCGGCTTGCAGACAGATTGCTAGGGTTCAGCGCCTGGGGGCTTCTTAAAATCTGATCTTATCGGAGTGAACACGGAGCGCGGGGCGGCCAAGTCCCGGCTCCCGGAACCGTCCCGGAACCGCCCTGGCTCCGGGCTGCGGAGCCTGCGGAGGCTGCTTCTTGGACCCTGCTAATATCAGAGCAAACACGAAGCACCAAGAAGCCGAATTCCAGCTCCCGGAACTGAGCCCGCGGGGACTGCTTCTTGGAGCTTACACTTATAGGAGCTTACACCGAGCACAGAGCGGCCGAGTTCCGGCTCCCGGAACCGTCCCGGAACCGCCCTGGCTCAGGGCTGCGGAGCCCGCGGAGGCTGCTTCTTGGACCCTGCTACTATCAGAGCATACACCAAACACTAAGCGGCCGAATTCCGGCTCCCGGAACTGAGCCCGCGGGGGCTGATTCTTGGAGCCTACACTTATAGGAGCTTACACCGAGCACGGAGCGGCCGAGTTCCGGCTCCCGGAACTTCCCTGGACCGGGGCTAGGAGCCCGCGGAAACTGTGTCTCGGTCCGGGTCCTGCTGAGGGCAGGTCAGGACTCACCCATTGCTTGGGTTGCCTGGCAAGGGGAACGAAATGCTGCCATTCGCATAGGATACCAACATGGCAGAGATCTGATGTCAGCAGAAAGCGGTGGAGGAGAGATCTTCATCAATACCAGCGGTGACATAAGCAGTTGGTCTTCTGGTAAGGGGGGTGAGGCTCAGTCACCCGAGTCTCCTCAATTTGTCCTCGAGCCGGAGGGAAGGAGCCGGGCCGCCGCCAGCCCCCGGAGCAGGCCCAGCGGCTCGCCAGCGTGGTGACCGCGTGACCCCAATTGGAGAGGGGGCGGAGCGGAGCCGCCACCCACACCCGCCAGGTGGGCAGACCCACGACCCAGTAGTACATGGGCGTGGTAGGAGGGGCAGGGCAGAGCCGCCCTTCGCGCTTGCAAGGTAAACAGACCTGTGACAGCCTGGCGGGTCAGGCCCAGTGGCCTGCCAGTGTGGTACACACGTCACCCCAACTCGAGTAGGGGCAGAGCAGATCCTTATCCCACGCCCGGATCAGGCCCTGCCGGTGTGGTGGTCACGTGACCCCAATTGGAGTGGGGGTGGAGCGGAACCGCCACCCGTGCCCGCAGGGTGAGCAGACCAGTGATCAACCTGCAGATCAGGCCCAGGGGTCCGCAGGCGTGGTAGGAGGGGCAGGGCAGATCCGCCGCCCGCGCCTTCAAGGTAGGCAGACCTACAACAGACCGGCGGATCAGGCCCAGGAGCCTGCCGGCGGGGTACAAACACCACCCTAATTGGAGTAGTGACAGAGCAGAGTCGCCTCCCTTGCCAGGAACAGACCCAGCATCCTGCAGGCGGGGTAGTCACGACACCCCAATTGGAGTAGGGGCAAAGCAGAGCCTCCACTCGTGCCCGAAAGGTGGGCAAATCTGCGACCGACCAGCAGGACAGGCCCAGTGGCCTGCTGGTACGACAGACACGTCACCCCAATTGGAGTAGGGGCAGAACAGAGCCGCCACCAGCTCCCAGAACAGGCCCAGTGACCTGCCGGCGTGGTAGCCACGACACCCCAATTGGAATAAGGAGAGAGCAGAGCCGCCGCCCGCACCTGCAGGAAAGATACGCAAGCAGTATGAAAAGACAAGGAAAGAAAGGACCACAAGCAATGCAGGTCAACGCAACTTTAGAAGAGGTAACAGCTGCAGCAGATGGAATGTCAGATAAAGAATTCAGGATATACATGCTTCAGATGATCTGGAGTATCAAGGAAGACATTAAACAGCAAAATCAGACAATGAAAGATCACTTCGACAACGAATTACGCAAACAAATCCAGGAAGCAAAGGATCAACTATACAGGGAGATAGAGGTTATAAAAAACAAGCAATCAGAAATCCTAGAAATGCAGGAAGCAATAAACCAACTTAAAAACTCAATGGAGAATACTACCAACAGAGTAGAACACTTAGAAGATAGAACATCAGACAATGAAGACAAAGTATTTCAACTGGAAAAGAACATAGACAGCTCAGCAAGACTGTTAAGAAACCATGAGCAGAACATCCAAGAAATATGGGATAACATTAAGAGACCAAACTTAAGAGTCATTGGGATACAGGAAGGTACAGAGCTCCAAACCAAAGGAATGAGCAGTCTATTCCATGAAATAATACAAGAAAACTTCCCAGACTTGAAGAATGAGACAGAATCCCAAATCCTAGAAGCCTACAGGACGCCGAATGTGCAAAATCATAAGAGATCCACACCTAGACACATTATAATGAAGATGCCCAACATACAGAATAAGGAGAGAATTTTAAAAGCTAC